AACCACGTGAAGATGTAAAAGAATGTGAGCTGGCCTTGTGCTACATGTATTTTCCTCGGTCAGTATGGCTGGACTGTAAACTTCCCATCTTATGTATACAGTACACACTGTTACGGTACAAGTAAAGTATACAAACTAAATCTGTAAACTGCCTTTTACCCAATGTACCTGTTCATCATCAATTTATGTTGTCGCTGTTTTCCCATGCATGTAGAATTGATACCAGATCAGTCCAAATTTGAAACGGTCGTACATCACAGTTGCCAAGCACCTCTGCATCGCCACCAGAGTAACCAGCATACATAAAATCGTATCTAATTCTGGCAATGCCTGTGTTGTGCATAGTGATGATCCTCATGATCAACACCAGGTGTTCAAACAAAGAAATTCAATGTTCGTGCAATTGTGCAGCTTGGCGTTGATGCCGACTACAGGACGGGCCCAAACCATTATTAGGTACAGCCTTCCGCTATCGAAACCTTTAATACGTATGCTTTGTCTGCCATCCAAAGCCACATCTTCCTACCTACCCAACCTTTCAATTTCAATGATTGAGAAACATTGTAGAGTATCGGGACAACAGGCGAAGTACAGGTTAGAAGACGCGACGAATTTGTTGTTGGAGATGTGCGGCTCCTACGAAGTGTACCAAACATGTATCCTGAAAAAACTGGAAAAGGATATTCCGGAGACTGCATCATTCTTGAAATATTCGAATCGCTCTTGCAGGCAAGTTGAGCTTGCAAAATGCTTTGAAATCGTTTCAAGAAGAGATCCAGAATTGCTCTTATCCCTAAGATGTGAGAATCTGATACCAACACCTCCTCAGCACATTACTACTCGGTGGAGCTACAACTCATACGACTTTATAAAAATCAAGAAAGGTGACAGTGACCTCAGCGATGATGTTTTAGCCAGTCATACTTGGATCGACTTCACGGAGCAGCTAGCAGAGCATCACTCAGTACTCCAGCTCTTTATCAAAGGAAGCCCACGTTTATCGCAGTTGGAGGATTACTTCGTGGCTGTCATGGCGTACGACGAGCTTTGGTACAGCCTGCCCCAGTCTATTCGCCCAAGTCGAGATGTTCTCTATCGTGACCTGGGAATCTACCTACTTTCCACGCTACCAAGGTCGCAATGTGAAAAGAAACTGACCAAAGAGGAACTGCTGAACGCCATGGAACGGTGTGGCAAGATGATTGTTGACAGTGCAACCCGTGAAGTGTGTTGCAGCGCGCGTTCATCTTGCTGTATCCTGATGTAGTTGTGGTTGTTGTAAGTTTGCCATCGTGGGCAATTTGGCCTATGACGCAATGCCACCACATGTACTTGTTAATTCTGCACTGTGCTCTTCCGCCTTTTTGCCAATTGGATTTTGCTTCATCTCTCCGTTTTCCTCAGTTTTTCATAGTACATAATTATTACTGTACTCCAAGTGGGGTATTTGCTTACCTGAGGTGGGATAAACATTGGATTCCAGTTTCCAAAACAAGGATTGACTGTAAGGGCCAATTTACGATCGACTGTAAAACCAGGCATGGCAAAAGGAGAATAGTGGGCACATAATAGGGTAAACCCCTTGACTCATTACATTAATATTAGGTGCAGATTGTGTCTCAAAACCTCAATCATTGAAGTTGAAAGGTTGGGTAGGTAGGAAGATGTGGCTTTGGATGAGAGCCATATCACACTGATCACAGGCTTCGATAGCGGAAGGCTGTACCGCATAATGGTTTGAGACCGTCCTGCAGTCGGCATCAACGCCAGGCTGCACAATTGCACGAACATTGAATGTTTTTGATTGAACACCTGGTATTGATCATGAGGATCATCGCTCTGCACAACACAGTCATTGTTAGAATCAGGTATGCTTTCATGTATGCTGGATACTCTGGTGCCGATGCTGAGGTGTTTGGCAACTCTGATAATATTATACGAAAGTTTCAAATCGGGGTTGATCTGATAGCGATTCTACATGCATAGGAAAATAACGACAACATACATTTATGATGAACAGGTACATTGGGTAAAAGGAAGTTTACAGATATAATTTGTACACTTTACTTGTACTGTAACAGTGTGTACTGTGAACATAAGATGGAAAGTTTACAGTCCTGCCATACTGGCCGAGGAAAATACATGTAGCACCGGCCAGCTCACATCCTCATACGGTTCAACAATAGTCTGCCATTTAAAATGTAGTCGCAAGTCCCCGTAAGTGATCAGTTTCAAAGAGACCTGTCAGCCGAAAGTCTCACTCTACCAACGCATGGTTAGAAACAGCTAGTGCAATAGAAGAAGAAGGACTGTCTCGAAGAGGAACGTCTTTTCAAACTTTTTACAGCAAGATACATGTACTTGTAATAAACCAAATTTAGGCAAAGAAACATCACATATTACTCACTGGACATAAACGCCTGAACGTGTTTTCATCATGTAACAGCTTCCGGACGTGTCTCGTAACACCACATAGCTGAAATATGTCAGCAAGTCACAACAAAGGTAGTACTGCTGCTTCCCACACGTCCAAAAGAACACAGTACAGGCTCGACTGACTCTTGCTCCATTGCTTTGCAGATCTTCAGTTCAGTTCCATACACAGGGGCCGATATATCAATGACTGATGCCTCTTGCGACAGTTCGTCTGGCGCATATCTGTAATCGTCTTCCACAGCAGTGAGAAGAACACGCCCTATGAGCATTCAAGCATAACTTACGATATCGGGCGTGCTGCAGGTAAAAGGCTTTCAGCGGTAGAGAAAACTAGTCTCTCCAGCTGATTTTCAGAGCGTCAAATAACACTTTGCATCCTTGAAAGCGCTGACTTCTACCTTACACGTACTACTAGTGACAGTGAGTTCCCATAGTAAGCAAGGAAGGGCACAAACGTGAGGGCGCCACGCTTATGACTAGCTACATTTCTCAGTAGGAGTTGTATCACATCGTCATGAACCCTTATCCCCTGACCCCACTGAAAAAACAGCTCAGCCTAAAGTCCACTACTGAAATGTGCACCCTCCTGCGGAGCCCACGCTGCTTTGGCAGTGGCGGAGGCTCGCTTGCTGACGTAACCGTCGGAGACCATCATGAACAATGGACTGACTAATTATTCACTTGTCCTGTCTTTCTAAATAATATGTTATTGCACATGTTCTTGGTTAAGTTTTGTGCCTTTTTCGTGTATGTGGCGGTAAAATTTATATCCTTTATCTTACGTGCAGAGCAAAGAGGTGCTAGTGGATATGTGATTGTACTACATCATGTGAAACGTACATGTACATGACGGCGTGCGAGAAGGCCCAGTTAGGGTCCAGCAGATAATGCTCCAAAACCGTTCGTATAATGCTGACCGTAATGCTCCAAAAACCACCTTATAGGGATATTGCTCTTGGTTTGGGTCAAAAAGGAAGAATGGTTGCACATAATCAATCTTCTCCTGAATCTGCAGGAATATTGTCCACGAGCTCCACGACCTTTTGGCACTATCAGACTTCATCGATTCTCCAGTGGCTGCTCCCCATTGCAGTCTTGACGGACAATGTGCGAACGCGTTCTCCAGTGTTCCTAACAAATATGCGCCAAAAGCGCTTGCACCATAATGGTTTGTGGTTATCTTGTGAAAAAACTATTTTCGTACTTCAGTGATATAAGTCACAGAAAAGAAAAAGGACCAAGGAACTACAAGTTACGCTATAATGTCCACCTACACCACCAGTTACTAAACGATCATCTCATGCGATAACTTTGGACGTGGTGTTAGTGGACATTATAGCGTACTAGTTACTTGTAGTTCCTTGGTCCTTTTCCTTTTCTATAAACGTATCCTTGGCTTTCCAAGCGAGTCCAAAATATACGTCCAGGTGACAATTATGCCCGATAGTATGAGTAAACACTCGGATGCTAAGCAATTAGTAATAATTATGGGGAATTGGGTTTTGCTCTCTACATGGGAGCTCGCGGTTTTCCTCCAAACTTCAATTGTCACATAACTGACTCAGCACAGCCACCCAGAGCACACGAGAAGTCCAACGAACCATCCACTCGGCAAATCTGCAAGAAAGCACTACTGCCTGCTCAACACACAGTGATTCGTGGAATTCATGCCTCATCATTTGAGCTTGAGTAGGTTGAGGAAAACATTGCCTGAAGACCACAACTTACATAGTGCTCTCCAGGCGCGAACACAACAGAGACGCTCCGTTTCCAGCGCCACAAACACCTCGTGAACATCAGATAGCTGCGGGAGTCAGTGTCGCTCATGGATGTGCTGAACAAGCGTTGAAGGCAATTGGCCATTCGCAACGTTGTTGCCTCCAAACAAATATATTTTGCAAGCCCGATCTGCGGACAACAATGTGAAGACGAGGTTGGTGGGACTTCGGCGTTACTTGGGGAATTGTGTGTTGCTGCCTACATGGGAGTTCGTGCTTTTTCTTCTGACTTGACTGACTCACGACTGCCATCCGGAGCACAAGAGAGGTCAATCGACCCATCCACTCGGCGAACCTGCAAGAAATCACGATTCCCTGCTCAATACACATTCCACGTTGTGAATGGCCAACGGTCTTCAGCGCTTGTTCAGCAACTCCACGAGCGACACTGACCCACGCTGCTATCTGGTGTTCGAGAGGTGTTTGTCGCCCTTGAAAAAGAGCGTCTCTGTAAGTTTGTATCCCTGGTGATGCTTGTGCCTCGAAAGCACTATATAAATGGTGGTCTTCAGACACAATGTGCACATAAATTTAATGTCATGAGTCTACGCGAATACCCTATTATGTGTCCACTATTCTCTTGTCGCCATGCCTGGTGGTGCAATCGATCGTAAAATAGCCCTTACAGTTCATCATTGTTTTGGAAACTGGAACCCAACGTGTACCGCACGTTAGGTAAACAAACACATCACTTGGAGTACGGTAATAATTATGTACTTTGGAAAACTGAGGAAAAAGGAAATATCAAGGAAAATCCAATTGGTAAAAAGGCGAAAGAGCCCAGTGCAGAATTAAAAAGTACATGTAGTGGCATTGCGTCATAGGCCAAATTGCCAACAACGGCAAAATAACAACAACCACAACTACATCAGATTACAGCAAGATGCACGCTCGCTCAAACGCACTTCCGGGGTTGCACTGCCAACAATCATCTTGCCACACCGTTCCATGGCGTTCAGCAGTTCCACTTTGGTCAATTCCTTTTTACACTGCGACGTTGGTAGTGTGTGAAGTAGGTAGGTTCCAAGGTCGCGATAGAGAGCATCCCGACTTGGGCGCCTAGACTGGGACAGGCTGTGCCAGAGCTTGTCGTACTCCATGACAGCCACGAAGTAATCCTCCACCTGCGAAACACGGAGGATTCTCTTGATCAGTAGTTTGAGTACTGAGTGACGCTCTGCTAGCCGCACTGTGAAGTCGATCCAATTATGAGTTGCCAACACGTCATCACTGAGAAGGTCACTCTTATCATTCTCGATTAATATATAGTCGTATGGGTTATAGATCCACCGAGTAGAAACGTGCTGAGGAAGTGTTGGCACCAGATTCTCACATTTCAATGATGACAGCAATGTTGGATCCCTCCTTGCAACGCTTTCAAAGCATTTTGCAAGCTCGACTAGTTTGCAAGTGCGGTTCGCGTAGGGCAAGTATGCCTCAGTCTCCGGAATATCCTGCTCCAGTTTTTTCAGAATACATGTTTGGTACTCTTCATGGGAGCCACAAATCTTCAACAACAAACTCGTCGCGTCGTCTAAACTGTACTTCGTCCCTTTTTCTAGTCTGCATGTTTCCTCAATCAATGAAGTTGGAAGGTTCGATAGGTAGAAAGAAGTGTCTTTTGATGGTAGCCAAAGTGTTTTTATTAAAGGCCTCGGTAGCGGAGGGCTGTACCGCATAATGGTGTGGGCTTTAGGCGGCGTCAACGCTAGGCTGGACAGTTGCAAAATCGCTCTGAATTTTTGTTTGCACAACTGGTCATGATGATGAGGGAAATTGCTGTCGACAACGCTGTTATCGCCACACCTAGAATTGCGTTCATGTATGCTGGAGACCCTGGTGGCGATGCAGAGATGCTTGGCAACTCGGATATAAGACAACTTCAAATGAGGACTAATCTGATAGCGATTCTGCATGCAAGGGACGAAACAGAAGAAACCATCATGAATAGGTATATTGTATAAGCGGCGGATCATAGTTTTAGTCAATGCTTTTGTACCTGTGTTGTACTGTATCGAATTTACACTTGTTAAACATAACGAATCGTCGATGTTCTCGCTCTGCTTGCAAATCTGTGGCGTCAGTTCCTTGTTGGCATTGTTAGGATTTTATAACACTCTGTGTGAGACATAACCACTTTTCACATTTGTTTCTAATTCCACTTGAATGTTCACGATAATTTGGAATATTTTAAAATTACTTCTGCCCTATGTTTCCTCATATCTGTCCTCATCACAATTCCAAAAAACTTCTGACCAAATATTCTTTAATTTAAAAAGACTGCGCGTGATATCGATCTCAATGCCTGTGGTGAATCCTTGCTATGAACAAAGTGACTTTTAGCATTTTGTGGTGAGTTTTTCATTTCAGTTGACAATGTGTGCGTCCTCTGCTTCGTGCCTTTCACCCTCTATCCCATGTGGGAAACAAAGGACTGGTTCCTCGGCACTCCTGAGGAAGAAAATCATCGTCCTCTCCCAGACGTGCTGGAGCTGGAGAACCATTACAGTCGTCGCTGCTGCGTTTAGGAAAAGTTTTCCAAGGACCTGGCTGGGCACAGCGAAAACTCATTTTCGCCGTGCCTTTGCCATTCCTGAGTGAAAGACCTCGCCATGGCAAAGAATTTATTCGGAACAGCATCAAACATAACAAATCCCTGTTTCAAAATTTGAATTTCCCGCACTTGTTTCCACGAAACGTCATACTGGTAATTATCGCCATGGTTGTCACGACTACGTCGTCTGAACTATAACGTAAATTGTGCTAGGGGAAAGGTCAGCTTGAACGATCCCAAGAACGGTAAGGATTGCTTTTACGTTAGCGTTCTTTTACCTAAGGATATCTAATAATCTGCATAAGTGCAAATTTTTGTTCACGAAATCTTTCGTTAGATCACTACACCAGCAGGCTTACTACGTACTAAATTTCGTTTTTGGTCGAGGTCTGTCACCCCGAACGGTCAGAGAAAAAGCTTTAGTTTGGTACAAATTTTAGTTATTTCATGCCCCCTAACGAATAAAGGGAAAATTATTTCCAAACGAAAAGTTGTACTTATAATTATAGTATTATTGAAACCGTGTTTGGAACCAAGTTTCGGCAAAGAAACATCACACATTACTCACCTCACATAGACGCCTGAATGTGTTTTCCTTATGCAGCAGCTCCCGGACGCGTCTCGTAACACCACATAGCTGAAATATATCCGCAAATGACAACAAAGGTAATACTGCTGCTTCCCACACGTCAAAATTAACACTGTTCAGTACATTCTGGGCTGACTCTTGCTCCATTGCTTTGGAGATCTTCAGTTCAGCTACACGTACAAGCAGGGAGCCGTTATCATTGATTGTTGTCTCTTGCGACAGTTCTTCTTGCGCACATCTACAATAATCGTCGTTAACAGGAGCAAGAGGAGCACCCAGTCTTACGTAGATGCAAAAAACTGAACTGACGATATCGGGCATGCAGCAGGCACAGCGTATTCAACGGTGCAGAAAAATGAGTCTCTTCACCTGATTTGCAGAGACTCGAGTGACGTTTGTAAGCTTGAAAGCACTGACTCCTACCTTCGTACATGATGTACTTGTGACAGTCAGTTCCCGCAAGGAAGGACTGACGTCACAACGGTGTCGTGAGTGCCCTACGCGAATGATACTAATAGTTCTCTCACAGTCTCAGTGGGAGTTGTACTACACCTACTTGTACATGTACATGTACATGTATGTATTGTTCAGCGGATAATGCCGGCATTATAATTATTCGGCATTATATCATAAATGAGGCTAACTCGGCGAGCATCAGAGCATTATGGCGGATTAGATTCTGATTGGAACAAAACGAGCATTATGTGAGGTTTGAGTGGCATTACAAGTTGCACATTGGATAAAATCCAGATTTTTCTCAACAATCGGCTACATGAAGTCATGACTCATGAGATCCGACCCTCATCTGGTCTGAAAAGGGTGAAGCTAGCTGGAAGTTAAGTGGAACCCATTGTACGGGTACATGACTTATTGGACACGTAACACTTTTAGCACTTTGTACGCTGTACTCCTGTAGCGGACATGGAAATCCAGTCGATTGACCGGGGCCGGCGCCCTCATGCATGCACTCATGCGCGTACAGAAGGCTGCGTGCAGTGGTGCACATGCATAATAATGATGTGTGTACCGCTTATCCACGGCTGCATGGCCAGCGCCCTGGGGCCGCTAGACGTGCGACCGGATTTCCATGTCCACTAATGTAGTATGTAGCAATGCAGTTAGGTACGTACCGGTAAATGTAGTCATGTACAGTCGTAGCCAAAGAAATCCCACCCATAATATACAGTGAGACCTCGGTAGGAAGAACACTGATAAGACAAATGTTTGCTAACTCCATTGGATAAATCACTGTGCATTCACTGGGTATAACATACGGATAAGAAGAACTATTGTTATTATTATTATTTTGCTTGATAACGTTGGCATCAACCTGCATAAAGCAGGTTATAGCCTTCGCTTAAGCTGCCATAAAAAGAAAGCTCATCCTAAGCGAGAGGGCCAGAGGAAAAGATAACGATAAAGAGATATAGAATACAAAGAAATCCAATGAGTTAAACATACAATTCAAAACAAGAAAGAAAGAAAAAACAGAGCCGAAGCTACTAATCGGAGTTAAAGAATGTGTTGGTACCGATTGATCCGTCAATCGACAAAGGGAACTAATCCGTTAATATTGCGAAGTAGAAACTGATTGTAGCTGCAGATCTCCAGGCCAGGGCCAGCATATTGCCGAATCTGGATAGGTCTCTGCAGCATTTGATGTGGTAATTATCATAAATTGTTGATAAAATTGTTAGAGTATCTAGAGTATCTAGTATCTAGAGTATCTAGTGTGGTAGAGTACATAGTGTAATTGTATCCGTTATTATTGTTAAGAGTATCTAGTGTAATTGTATAACTTCAGCCACTACACACAGCACACATTATTCTCGCTCCACATACACCGACATAAAGACATGGACCCAGACAACAGAGGCAGGAGCACACCGAGCGAGGGTGCATGTAGTAGGCCGCAGCCAGATACACTGGTGAGACACAAAAAACTGACTGAAGGAGTCAGGCAAAAAGAACAGCAACAAAAAGAGAAAACATCAGATTCCATATTCGCACGAAAAATGATTTTGTTTCGCGAGAAATCATTTCTCGCCTCACTCGCTCCGCTCGGCCGGCGAGAAATAAAACGTTCCTTCCACTTTGGACGATCCTGGGCGAGCTGCCTCAGTGCAACTAGATCCTAGTGTGATGTGAGGGAGTTTGTGGATCTGGAATTGTTCAGGTCGTTGTTGATAGATCGCGGGAGGGTTGTTCTCGGGCGGCCTCGGAATCCTGAGCTTCCTGGCTGAAAGTATGCTGACATAGCCTACTGGACCGGGGATGATGTGTCTAGTCGAAGCATGTGGCCAAGCATTCTCCACCTAGCAGACTGGATGATTCTGCTGAGTGGCTTGGAGCCAGTGCGCATTTGTTATTGCGAACAAATATTATCGGTCCCTTGGTGTTCGTCCTAACGAGGTTTGACTGTGCTTACTAGTAAGCGAACAGCAGCACCCATGCGGCGCTCGGATAGACGGTGCAAGATGTACGGATTTTGGAATTTGAATTGGAAACGTGGCACTACATTTGTCTGAATTTTGACTCGTGGGGCAACCAAAGCTGTTCCATTATTGCATTAATCCGAAGCGATGATTTACATGGAGCAGATGTTGTTGTTAGAAATCATGGAGAGCCATGGATCATGGAGGAAACAAACGAAGAGGAGTTTTCTGGTTGTACCAAAGGCCCCCACTATAGCGTCTCCGCAAGATATAGCGATATTGAAGTAGACAGATCCATTGCTAAAGTTGGACAAGGATGAAGGAGCGACACATGCGTGTACATGTATTGCATTTCGGTGCGCCCAAATCACTAAACCATAAACCTCGCTATAACATAACTCCTGCCTTGTCCCGGAGTTTTCGGTATAGCGAGTCTGAGCGGTAGTAATGACAGTATGCTGTACCCATTACCAGCGACCGAGTTAGCTGGTTCTGATCTGGGACTTCACAGAACTCGGCGTTCACTTGACCCACTTGACTGGATTTCAATGGACGCTTTCGATTACACGCATTTCGGTCAATTCTAGAATTAGTTATTGTTGATGCACAGTTCGATTACACAAAAAGTGACAAATTCCGTCGTTAGAATTGATTTTATCCAATTCCGTCGAATCCATCAAGTCTGAAGAGAAGGCGGAATTTCTCTTATTCTGGCGCCAGAATTGCACTGTCGGTGTGTTACCCATTTGGTCATGACTCAAGCGCGCGAAGAGCCTCCCTGGCCGGCGTGTGCGCGATGCTAGGTCCACGTGCGCGCGATCGATCGCGAGGGTGTACGTGATCTCTTTTTGCGATTCATCAATTTCGTTTGTGACATGACATGAATAAAATGCGTTGTGAATTCCAGTCGTTCGTTTACAAGGCCGGAATACGCTCATTCTGGCCATTCCAGAATTTAAAAAACCAGTTCCAGAATTGTGTAAACGTGTACTAGTAATCGAAAGCGCCCAATGAGCAGCTCTGTCCAATAGGGCTTGAAAGTGATGACGTCCAGGGAGTAGTAAGTTGACATCAGATTTCTATTTTGGATCCACTTTGCTATTGCCTCAGTATGTGGGTGCATAGCAACCCACTCATGTCGTATGCAGGGGTGACTTTTACTTCACCACCAGTTGTAACCCTGCCCCCAGTAGCCAAATCGGTCAGTTTCACTGGCTACATCACTTTGCTGTAAGACGGCTTGAAATGTGCTTGGATCCATACAAAACTGGATCCAATTGCATCCAGTTTTGAATTTTTGAAAATAATTGTTGCTATGCTGTGACGTAGCACTTTCAAGCCCTATCAAGTACTACAACTAGTACAAGGGGAAATGCCTGGTACATAAGCGTCATGTGATGTGACAGGTCTGCTCAAGTCTGAGTCCTTGTTGTATGATATCCTGTCGTCGACTCTCTGTTACAGGCGAAAGAAGATGCAGGATCCGTCACCGTTTGTCATGACGTGTAGAAAAAAGAAAGAAGAATCAAAACTCAGTCAGAGCAAGTTTTCGGTATCCTTCGGGATCTCCCCGACCCCCCCCCCCCTGCCCCCTCCACGAAATCAAGGTGCTGACGTAATGAAGCGTGGACCGTGAATCCGAAAACACAATAATTATTAACCTTTATCACCCCGACCCATCAAGGAATGATGGGAATCGGCCATCTTGCATTCACACCATAGCATATTGAAACGGAAACCAACACCTTATCTTAGAAATGTCACTGCCACATTGTTACTACCACAGCACAAATATACAAAGGCTGTCAGGAGTGCTTTTCTAAAAGGTAAGGGTACACGAAACGGGCTACCACACGCGGACGCATGTTTATGTAGACACATGAATAGAAGAACTGTTCCGTAATTCTGAGTTACACGTACTGCATCGATCATCAGACGGAAATTCAAGATACGTGTACAGAGAATTATCTTCTCTGCATCTCAATAAAACACACGACCCCAAAGCACGACAGCACACCCAACCTGTCAGCACAGGCACAACCACACGCTAAAACTCATTAGCACGGGTATGAGGGATCCGGTTTTAGAGTGTATCGCAGAATCTGTTCAAAATTGAATACTCTCATCGAAACTCCAGAATATAATCAGCAAGTAGCCTTCACAATAAACGTACACTGTGTTTTAAGTCATTCACTTCAGATAGAACTCAACGCTATAAATATTATAATAGATTCACTCCCACAAAAAAAAAGTGCCAGAGCATTCAGTGTAGACTTTTGTCCGCAGGATCAGGGGGATCTAGTGGAGCGGAGGTTCTAGACACGGGCTCCCAAATGGTTAGAATTTACTAAATAGAGAAATAGAATATTATGGTCGCTGCAGCTCAGAGACAGTATGAATTACGTGTATAGTGTGGTTATTTCAACATGCATAGCACCACACGTATAGCACAGGCATGCCATAACATCATTTCAGTGGTCTCCAACATAGGATATCATTTCATTTCAGTGGTCTTAATTAAAGACTATATGAATAGCGGATATAATCTCAGCATTTCAAAAGTGTAAAACCTACATGTAAGTACGTGCCTGTGTGTAGGCAGGCACAAATCCACTATCCATCTTTTGTTTCAAGGGCTGGTAAAATAGCATAATAGTATACATGGCAAGCGGGTCCTGCTCCTTGCACATGGTAACAGGATAAATTGTGTTCACAACGAGCAGCTATTGGACACAATTTCCCATATTTTGCCACAACGGATGCTGGGCAGACATATTCGGGCGATTTGGCCGACCAACACCACTCAGGTGACATTGAACAGCACTACTTCTCCAATGCAAGTATCACTATCAATAATTACTTCTACCTCTGTTAGCTTGGTCAAACACTCGCTGAGTGCTCCTGCGTGTAGCTGACGAAATATTGTCACATACTTGTTGACTGCGCTTGCTTGTAGCTGACCACCGAGTAGTATAAGATCACACACTCGTAGACTGCCCCTGCTGCAGCATTTGCTCCGCGGCGCTTCTCTCGCGTATGTACATCTGACGACGGGACTCCTGATCGGCTAGCTCGAGCGGTTTGAAATCATCGGGCAGTGGGCAGTCGCGGCCCTCCACCTTGGAAACTAGACAGTACGCGTTGATGTCGAGAATCAGTGATTGGGCACGAGTTGAGCCAGACGTCAATCTCCGGACTTCGTCCATGACAAGTTCAATCACCTCGCGACAACTAGTCGTAGGGGTGATCTTAATCTGTTGGTACGCAAAAGAGAGAGAGAGGGAGGGACGGGGGAGAGAGAGTGATCGAGAGAGAGAGAGAGAAAGAGAGAGAGAGAGAGAGAGAAAGAGAGAGAGAGGGAGAGGGAGAGAGAGAGAGAGAGAGAGAGAGAGAAAGAGAGAAAGAGAGAGAGGCAGAGAAGCAGAGAGGCAGAGAGAGAGACAAATTAATTAGCACGCAGACAGATAAACATACAAACCGTTCGACCGACAGACAAGCAAGCCAAACTGAACAAATTTAATAGAGGTAGGGTCTATAAGGAATCAGAGAGAAGGCGAAAGGATGAGAAGGAGGATAAGGGGATAGGAACAATTTGGGAGTTAGAGAATGACCAATTTGGGACTGTTGAAGAATGACCAATTTGGGACTGTTAGAGAAGCAAATTACCTTGATATTGGTTCCCTTTGCCAGCAGTTGAGGAGAGGCGAAGAGTGGAAATACTCTCACCCAGTTTGCTCCACTGGTCGATATGCCACCGGGTGTCAAGAGCGAACCAGCTAAAGAACACACACAGCAGAACAAAATACAATGCAGATTGGATATCAAACTTCAAAGATCAGGTTTGAAAACAATGACTATTCCAAACCGGACCAATGAAAAATACAAGCTTCAGGCTCTTTGCAGTCAACATTTCAAAATGTCCACAAGCAGCTATATCCATGCAGAAGAATATAAAGGCAACAAATTAAATCATGCTTCAAAAACTTCATGGAGGTTTGAAATCAAATCAACAACCAAATTTTTTTTATTCTCTCTCACTGTATATTCATTAAGCTCAATTGATATGGATCAAGAGCTTCTTAAGCAGCCAGCATATAAACTGATCGCATCGAGGAGGAGTGGCGAACCACCAAGAAACTCGGGTCCCTATTAGGTGATGCCGAGGATATGCTACGGCGACAGCAACTGGCAACTGTTGCCTTTGGTAAACTCTGGACGCTGTGGATCCGTAGGTCGCTAGTTTCGGAGGATCTCCGCATCCGGCTCTATAATGCCTTTGTACTCCCTGTACTCTGCTACAATTGTGCAACATGGGCACCAACGAAACAGCAGCTGAGCCGTATTGAGGCCTTCCACCGAAAACAGCTGCGGGCGCTAATCAGCATTGTGTTCCCGAATCGGATTAGGAACGAGAGGCTCTATGAGCGAACCGGCGCGGTTCCTCTCGGCATTATCATCTTGAGAGCTACGTGGAGGCTCTTTGGGCACGTCCTCCGGCTCCCGGCTGACTCCCCACCATCACTGGCCATGGGAGCGTACTTCGCAGAGCCTCGCCCAGCGGGCTGGAGGGGACGACCAAGACACACACTACCAACGCTACTACAAGATGATGCCAAGCGGATTGGACTTTCCTTGTCAAGCAAAGTCGATCTGGAGGCGTTCCGTGCCCTTGCTGCTGACCGAAGCGGTTGGGTGGGCATCTGTGCCCGAGTGGTGTCGGCACCCTAGTTTTTGTCTTCTTTTCGCATATTTCTTCTTTTTCTGAAACTGTTATGGTCTTTTGTATCTATTCGAAGTGGCTTATGCGAACATTTTTGTCTGGTTTGCATGATTTGCATGCCCATTAATGCAGCTGCAGGCCATGCTGATGTCTACGCGAACAAGCACATAATAATAATAAATATATAAACTGACCTGGAGTTGGCGAGGAGCGGGCTGAGCGGTCGCTTCCGGAGTCTCCGCCCGTTTCTAAGTACGTCCGCCTATGCAGATGTGACTGGGTGGCTTGTGTTCGCATCACCCTCGCTGTGCTGCTCTGCTGCTGCTGTTGGACGTGTTGCTGCTGCTGCTCGTATTGCTGCTTCTGCTGCTGCTGCTGTGACGGCGGGCTTCCGAAGCTGGTGTCGGAAATGCTGCGTCGCGGGCGGCCGTGCGGGCGAGCGGCTCGGTCGACGGACGCAAACGATGACGCAGGACTGTGGTGATTGGTGGCGGCGGCAGCGGTGGTGGTGGTGTTGTGCCGTTGAGGGTGTGCGTACGTCGGTGGGGGCGGTGCCTGCTGCGGTGCCGGAACGCGGGCACCGAAACGGCCGAACTGCCCGTCGCCGCCGTGCACTGGCGGTTGCTGTGATGATGAGGATGTCGTCGGGCCGGTTGGCACGGAACTCCGCTTGGCGTTGCCGGCAGATGGGGGTGCGGCGTGTTGGTGCGTCAAGTGGTGCGATTGCTCCTCAGCCTGAGATTGCTGATGTTGCGTGACGGCTGATGCACCACCCGGCTGTTTTCGACGCAGCGGTGGCGTACGTTGAAACGTTGACGCACCGCTCGAGTCTGTCCGTGCGTAGAGAGTTTTCCCCGCCGGCGCGGACGGGTGAATGCGACTCGCTGTGGACGCTGGCAGAGTGCTGGACCGGTTTGACGAAGAGCTGCCCGCTGACAATTGCAACGTGGCAATGTTCCCGCTGCCAAACTCATCCGGTGACGATGAGCTAGTCACATGACCACCAGAGCGTGCCGAGGAGAACGAACCAGAGCTGTTCGACGGAGACAGGCTCCGGTTGCCGGTGGCGACGGCATGGCCGGTGTTGACACGACTGGAGCTGGAGCGAGAGAATGTGGACGAGGCGGAAGACGAACCCGAGTACGAGGAGCTCGAGTAGGTCATACTGTCCGGGGATGGTGTAGTGCCGTGGGCGTTCATCGGAGAGCCCCGCGTGTGCTCCAGAGCGCCCACGGCATTGGCGACGGCACCCATGTTTCCGCCCTGCTGCACAAACGTACCATCCGGTGACGTCGCCATCGTCATGGTGTGATGATGTCGCTGCTGTGCGGCGTGCTGCCTGCCCAGTGTTCCATCCGGCGAGACGGAGTTACTGCTACTCGTGTACGGAGGCGGGTGTTCACCGCCGTCCTCAGAGTACTGTGGGCTGCCGGTGCGAGACAGGCGATGGACGTTCATGGCAGCGTGGGACGAGGAGCGTTTCGGCGGCGCTGGGCTGGCCCGTCCCTTGTCCATGTTGTCGGTCAGCGCATGAACAGGACTGCCGTGAGGAAAGCTACGGGATAGCTCGTCGTCTGGGCTGCCAGCTTGCGCATGCGCGTGACGCCTGTGCATCACGGAATGTGAGTGCACATTGCCGGCGGAGTCCGCCTTGTGACGCGATATGTTCGGGTCCGACATGACCGTGTTGGACTCCGACGCGGACTGCGTAGCGCGGTCCATGGCGGCACTGCTGCGCGAATGATGACCAACGGCAGCATTTCCGGTGGCGTGCGAAGATTCACTTCTCTCCTCGAGCAGTGCACCGTGAGTGGAGGAGGAACGGCGCGAAGAGCGCGGCAGGGTGGAGAAGCTTCCGGCACCACCAACGTACCCAACGCTTGGCAGGGATCCTCGGCGATTCGTCGGCATCGTGGCCTGGCGATTGCCTGCGTCCCGTGCACCACCGCCACCATCTCCGCCCTGTCTCAGAGTTGTGCTATTATTCGCTCCGCCGTTGGCCGGTCCGTTGCTCTTGTCGACAATGTCATTGAATATCTCGGTTGTCTCCAGCGATGCACGTCTCTGCAGGTGATTACGCTGGCGCTTGGCCTGCTGCAGGAGCAGCTGCTGCTGCTGCTGAAGACGTACGGAGTTGGACGACCAGCTATTGTGCTGTAGGCCTGTGATCGAGAACACACAGACGTACACACGTGCACATACACGCGGACACATAGATATGGACCCACGTACGCACATAGACACATAGAAACATCAACACAGAACTCAATATCACGAGAGCTAGCTGTTTCAACCTTGTTAGGTCCTAACACCGGAACACCAACGGTACAGTAAACCCTGTAACTAAAGACCATCGTGATAAGTGATCAGCCTGGTACTACAGACCACTTTGCCCGGCACGGACGGTCTCACATTCACATAATGGCTGTGCGGGGCAAACCTTTAACTAAGGACAACCTGCCACGAAAGACCACTTTCTCTGGCCGCAAGGGGTGGCCGTTAGCCACAGGTTTTACTGTTGTTATAATTTGAAGAGCAGCAGAGTATTTTCAAAAATCTCAAATGCATTGTATAGAACAATCGACGAGGAGACAATAGTCGTAAAATGGCAATAAATAAGATAAATTGTGCACTCATAACAACAGCAAAAATGAAGAAAGTCAAGTTCCATAACGTTTTCTTGTGACTGTCATCAGTGGAACGCCGTCTCGCTTTTTGTACTTGTTAGCTGCTGTATTTCTACCTGAAACCATATTACCTACATGTATATTAAAGTGTGTGTTTTAGTTATTACATTTTTATGTGACGGCGTTCCACTGATGACAGTCACAAGAAAACGTTATGGAACTTGACTTTCTTCATTTTTGCTGTTGTTATGAGTGCATTGTATAGAGTTAGTTAATGTGTTGGAGTACAAAATGAATACCATCTGCATCACTTACTTCTTCTAGTGTTCACACCACGAGCTCCTCGTCGTGCAAAGCTTGGCAGAGCATGGGCCGACGAAGTGCCAACGCCCGCCGTGAACATGCGCCGGAGCACAACGGTGCAAGATGGAAGCTTGTCCTTGCCCTGGTGCACGATGTCACGGACCCACCTCATCTTGTCCCAAACGGCATCGAGATCCGACTGCAGGTGGTTCACCTCGTCCAGTTCAATCTGTGCTGCTAATGTCTCTTCCTTGGTGAATGCCTGAGAAGTGAAGGCGAGGCAAAGAGCGGTAACAATTTATGTGACTTTACTTTTAGTTTGCAAGCATGTATAATGTATTTATGTGCATATGTGGGTCTGTGCATGTATAATGTATTTATTTTATGTGCATATGTGGGTCTGTGCATGTACGTGTATGTACAGTCAACTTTGTGTATAACGACACTCGGGTGGGCATCAGAAAAGTGTCTTTATCCGCGAAGTGTCGTTATACCCGAAGTCTCATTACATGTATATGGGTAGAATGGACTTTGCTCTGGGCAGAGAAACTCTGTCGTTATCGGCGAATTGTCGTTAAATCCGCAGTCGTTATTAGCGAAGTTGATTGTATATGTGTGCGTGTGTGTGTGTGTGTGTGTGTGTGTGTGTGTGTGTGTGTGTGCGTACGTGTTTATGCATGCGTACGTCTGTGCATGTGTACAGTACATGTACGTTTCTGCATGTGTACATGGGTGTCTGTGCAAGTGTATGTTTGTGTTTGTGTATGTCTGTTCATGTGTGTGTGTGTGTGTTTGTTTGTGTGTGTGTGTGTGTGTGTGTGTGTGTGTGTGTGTGTCTGTCTGTGTGTCTGTGCATTATGTATGTTTGTGTTTGTGTATGTCTGTTCATGTATGTGTGTGTGTTTGTGTGTGTGTGTCCCATATGGTGCAGTGGTATGTGCAGCGATTTCCAATCGATAGATTGCGGGTTCGATTCCCGACGATTATGGTCACACACGTCTTTCTTCTCTTTCTCAGACTCTTCCTGACTTTTCTTTCATTCTCCTGGGTGGTTACCAACAGCCAGTGCATGCCGGAGTATGTGGTGTGATGTGTGTGCGGGAAAAAAAAGAAGAAAAAAAAAGAAAAAAGAAAAAAAAAGAAAAAAATGAAAAAGACCAAAAAAAGGGATTCACTGGCCAGAAAATGTCACTCCAAATAGCTGTATGGTGTAGACCAGGCTGAATGGTGACGGTCAATTCTTCAGCCTTGCAAGCTGTTGAATGGTGTAATCCCAGCACAAGTTGCTATGGCTTCTGCCGTAGCATTGCTATCATCGCCTCCGGCGATGGGCGTCAAAGGTCAAAGGTCAAAGGTGTGTGTGTGTGTGTGTGTGTATATGTGTGTGTGTGTGTATGTGTGTGTATGTGTGTGTATGTGTGTGTGTCTGTGTATGTGTCTGTGTCTGTGTATGTGTCTGTGTGTGTGTGTGTGTGTGTGTCTGTGTGTGTGTGTGTGTGTGTGTGTGTGTGTGTGTGTGTCTGTGTGTGTGTGTGTGTGTGTGTGTCTGGGCATAACGTGTCTTTGATCCAGTAACAGTTTTCTTTAAAATGCACGCCGAACTCAGCAGCAGTGAGTGTATCATGTTCCGTACCTTGCGTGACAACTGCTCGGAGCAGAGTCGTCGACAGTCCAGCACGGACGACACACGAGTATACAGATCACAAAACGGTTGGGAGAACATCACCTTGTGAGCTGCATGGGAGCAAGAGAATAGGCAAGAGGTATGTGAACTTCATGCTTTCTGGTGACGGGCTATTCAACCCGATGATGGGCCACGCCAAACGAGAAGTCATTTATTACCGTAGTGACGCGCATATAAGCACATGTGCCTATACATCAGCGCATCTATAGGCACATGCATCAGCGCACCCTCACAAATAAGCGCATGGGCTTATAAGTGAACCCAAATGCAATCCATCCCGCGAAACACAGACACCACAAAAACACCATGTTCACATACTGTAAAAGCCATTATTCTAACCAGGCGCATATATAACGATTTCCCAAAATCGACTAGTTTACGTGTACCAAAGGTAACGATTCTCACTCATTCTCAACGCTCAATAGGACAGTATATGTATCGATTTCTGTACAACGATTTCTATTTTAACGACAGATTTCTCCTCGTTAACCCTTTGAGACCCCAACGATCGAATTCGATCGTTTGGTATACAGTGACACTAAAATAATTTTATCTCTTGTGTTCCTTCACCGATTCTCATAAACAAAGTATCTACGCTTAGAAAAGACCCTTGGCTATCATGTCGAAGTAAGCCGAAGTCTCTAGGAGTTACGATGCCGCCGTGGTGAGACTCGAAGTCGGAGACAAACTGAAAAATGCACTCAGATCGAAAAATTCAAATTTTCACGCTGCACTTGGCATGAGATTTCCCCGGAATGGTACGTCATACTCAAGCATGCTGCACACAAAGATTTTGCGCTTGAAACGAGCTTTCCGCTGTAGTTTATTTGAAGTCGATGCGATGAAGGAGAATGGAATGGCGGCTGTTTGAACTTTGCTGAAGCTGTTCGCGCACGGCTGCTGTTTTGGGCGGCATTATAGGCCACGCAGAGCAGAGGCTGTGCAGGTAGTTGGCTTGAGTGTGGCACTATTCTCTTCGTCTTGGAAATACCTTTCCAACGGTGGTTAGTTTGTAAAAATCGGTGAATGTTTCATAGAGATACGAGCGAAAGTGCATGTCATTTGAAGGTGCGTAAATTGTCGTACTTTCAGTGGGGTCTCAAAGGGTTAACTCGTTAGAGTTAGCACTTCGTTGTAATATTATGGCTTTTACAGTAGTTCAATGTGCATTGCGGTATTGCACTATGTTGTTGTTGAAATTTTATTTTGTATCGCAGACCAAACGGGCAATGGTGCCCAATATTATGATGGCGATAAAGTAACGGCCGAGAGCCAAGGATACAACAAGCAAGCCTCCACGAAAGAGAGAAAAACACAGGTAACACAGACTGCAAATACTCAAAAAGAAAAAGAGAAAGGGAACAAAAGAAAAAGAAAGAAGAAGAAAGCACAGTTGAGTCACGACTCCAAGTCCAAGCCTAGATGCTGGCTAACCATAAAAATAAACCTTTAAAAGTCTCTTGAATGATCTATGGCAGGCGAGGGACTTGAACTCTTGGGGCAGGGCGTTCCATAATTTAACAGCAGAAACGAGCGGCCGACAGTCACCAGAGACTCGCCTGGTGGCAGGGACAACATACGCATTTGGATCATTGATCCGAGTGACGCCTTCAGTCTGGCGACGTAGGCGCTTGGACAGGAGATTACTAATTGTGCATAATTGTGTAAGGTACCGGTACACTAGCAACTCAAGTGCATGTGCCTATGCGTGAGACAAAACGACCCGCAAAAACTAGCAAAAAAAAGCAAAAACTCACTCCTAAGCGCATGTGCCTTTACGTGCGTCACAACGGTAGCAGTAAACAGCGCGTTTGGGAGTTGGAGAAGCAATGCTCAAGGCTTGGCCAAATATTCGAGTAGGCCACGGTTGCTTCAGGGTATATCCCGAAAGTTTTAGGCGTAAATGGAAAGCAGGCCACATTACAAATGTTTCAAACTGTGCTTACTATCATCACATGAGAGCGTCTATAGAAATCGCAGGTCAGTAGGCACTTGCAATTTACACCAGGATACAGACCCGAGCAGGATACACTTTGTTGTCCCGATGATACAGACGTGGACCCATACCTGCCAAGTACTGAGAGTGCTTTTTCTGGATCGCCATGGCAAAATCCCGGGATTTGCCTTTGTTTTTCGGGATATGTCATATCATTACCAAAAAATCCTTTTCCACTTTTGATGGCACCAACAATTCGATAATAGATGGTTGATGGTGATCATCGGATCACACTTACACATGTTCAAGACTCATAAACGGAGGTTTTTCAGAGACTGCTCATGGAAGGAGCACTAGTAGATCCACTGGTACTGCAGGCTATGGCGGTCCGGGATCAATAAGGACAACTACTGGCCTGTGACAAGTCATTTGAAGTGCTCCAAGTACAATATCAAGATTGTTTCTTGTACAGTGAATTTCGGGATAATCGACAGGAATTTCGGGATAATCGACAGGAATTTCGGGATCGCGGGCAGGGGCGTCACAGGGTGGCTGTGAGTGGTACGACGGGGGTCGGGGGGTGTCCCCCGGAGAAAAAAATAAGGGTTTTTCGGCTATTGTTAAACAGGCCACGTTTTAGCACTCTACAGCCGCAAAGGAGGGTTCCCCTAGCACTTATTAGACAACCCCACTCCAGCTCCAAACACATACTTCTCATGGATTTTTTGGTACTTTCTGTACATCGTAGGTAGCCAAGCAAGGCAAAAGGAACCCATTCAATGATTCAGGGCCATTGCCCTAGGAAAAATCGCAAAATTCGAAGTACAACAAGCGTGCTGCGCCTTCTATCTGATCTAGCGCCAGCCGCTGTGGAAAAACGTATGTCGTGTCCTGCAAAAGTCTGCCGCGTCGCGTGCACTATGTACACGGCCGCGGCCTGGACAGTCGCGAAGTAATTTTAGTTGTTTTTAGAGAGAGAAGAAGATCCTTTTTTTTTTGTTCGGTGGGATTGAAAGATCTGCCAGTGGACCGGAGAGCTGCAACACTGGAAGCAGAAGAAAGCGCTTGCGGACTCTTCTCTGTCTTCGTGGCAACAGGACTTTAGTTTGCGAGAGACTTTCGTCCTGTCGTCGCGGACGCAATTCTTGTTGCTGCTACCAGAAAACTCGGGGAACGAAACAATCATAAATCGTTATAATAATGGGTGAAGCGGGTCGCGTCGGTGAACAGCTGCAATATTCTGCCGCCGTGGAGCAGCAGTCCAAACAATTTTCAACTTCGGAGAATGAAGCGCTTCCCTTTTCTGTTGACAAGCGCTGCGTTCGCGGATGTAATGCATTTTCGAATCCGCTTGCAGTAGATCGTCAGGAGCCAGAGGTACTAGGTAGGTGTCGTTGTGGAAAGAATAATAATAATGTTGTAGCTGACAAATGAGATGCTTGTAGTGTCTCTTGACCGTGCTGATCACCATTGTAACATGGCCGATCTTGGAAAATTTTAGTTCTGGACCCAGTGATCGCCGCCAGCTCAGCTCTGTTTCCGTCAAGTTTGCAGTGGATGCGTCCGTGAGGAATCCATCGTCTGATTGTCTCTACCCGTGACTCCAACCGCCTATCGTAATGGATAGCTGCCTGGAGTCTTGGGCAATAGCTAGCTGCTAGTGCTAGGCATCAAGTCTGTATGCTCCTTGCAATGAAAGTAACAGTTGCGATGTTTTGTACAAGTCCGAAGATCCTTGAATTTTTTTATTGCTTTTTCGGATGAATTGGGTGGACCATCCTGGACGAAAAGTGGTACGACCATAGTCGTAGTGGTCGTACCGTGTGTGACGCCCCTGGCGGGAGTTCATCCAAAATTGCGGGATAATCCCGAAAAAATCTGGATACTTGGCAGGTATGTGGACCCCGAGACGAAACGGGGAAACGGAATGGCTGCAGTAGTCTCTGCAACTCTGCATACTACATGATTACACTTTGATCATGCCTGCACTTTGCAGTGTCACAATACACCATCAAATGGCCATCAGACAGATTTCGCAAACTGCAGCCTGCCTTGGCTCAAATAGGCACCGCACTACGTAACGTTAGGTGCACTCAAATACGTCAGACGCAGCACTTGAAATCACTGGACCCTGCTTACCCAGTTCAAAGTAGTGCAATGGCAGTGGTACGATGTCAGGGTTCTCATCCAGCACACACTGCTGACCAGGTGCTAGGCACAGTGAGTCAGCCGGTGGTAGGAGCAACACCATGGTGATGTCATCGCTCACTTCTATCACCTCACGGCAGTACAGGTGATAGTTTTCCTGAACACACAGGAACACACACACACACACACACGTGAACGCACATGCGAACACAAACACGCGCACACACGCACACACAAGTACCCTCACACAGACCAACACACAAGCACATTTGCATGTGCACACACACACACACACACACACACACACAAATACGGGAACACACAATCTATTTCGAGTACAAAATCACAACATAACAAAAACCCATTCTTCCTGAAGACAATACATAGAGTGAAATAAAATATATACTGTTTCTCTTTCAATTTGAAACTCGGATGTTGAGCCATAAATATATGTAAAAGAGAAAAGGACATATGGATACGAGTTAAGAGTAACTCTCCATCACTGTAACATGATACTATATACAGTCAGAAAGTGCAATAACTAGGCACAAAACTGACAGAGTACTGAGACATTCGACGTCCTGACACCTAACTTCAACACATCTCCGTAGCGCTAACCGACAGCCTTCCAACTTGGAAGGTTCAAGGTTATGGAAAGACCAAAGAGGGGAAGGCAAGCGCAACGAAAACGAGCAAAAGCTACAGTCCCAACGGAACAAAGAATGTCGATTGTTACTGGACGATGACGAGACCAGTACGATATTTGACAAAGCGGTCTAACTACAATTCGAAGCAGCAAAGCAGCACACCACCCAACTTGGGTGGGTCATAAATATCATAAACTTAAACTTCATAAACTCATAAACTTTCTGACTGTATATAGTATCATGTTACAGTGATGGAGAGTTACTCTTAACTCGTATCCATATGTCCTTTTCTGTTTCTCTTTCATCTGTATTATATGCGGTAAAATAAATCCGTCCTTGTTTTGTCCTGCAATGGGCTCCGGTTAACATACCATGACGTCCTCCTCTCCATCGTCCAGGTTGAACTTCGTCAGCAAGCGTGCCGCTCCACGAGCCAGTCGCTGCTGAAACGTGCGCCCGTGCTGCGTAACCTCATCGGGCAGAGGGTGCACATTGCTATCCTGCAATACAGCACAGTAGCATTCGAAAACCCCAAACAGAGACACATGGTTATGTGTCTGTACACAGGATGTATGTGTGCTAGCCACGTTACTCGCTGTCATAATAAGTATGCTTGTCTTGTAACTTGAGTTTTTCATTTCTAGTCTTTTTTTGTTGGCTATATTCCCAGATAATAAGTACTGAAGTTCTAGTCCGGTTAACCGAACCACTGGTCGTCCGAATACCTCGATTACACCACAGCACTCAGTCTTCAGAAGTTGAGCACCACAAGTGGACTCAAGCTTACCTGTGTCTGGTTCATAACACGCTGTAGCCACAACCACTCGTCCCTACAGGAATATACCCGATCATATACACACACGCACATGCACGTGCACATACATGAATACACGCCAGCATACACACACATACACACACACATCACACACATACACACATCACACACACACATATATCACACACATCACACGCTTGTAGCAATGGAAATTTCACACACACAGATTCAAAAACATGATCGCGAGCGAGCTTATGCACAACGCTCACATCACACACAGCAGAAGAGAGCAAGAGGACGACACGCAGCAAAGGTCCTGCAAAATCCAGGATCAGAACCTATGCTAAATGAAGCCTCGGGCTCACCTTGAAACGTTTGGATTGTCGCTGATCTTCATATACGGCAGCATGAGTGGATGTAGCCTGGATGTGTACACGGACATGTGTGATACCGTCGTCCTGAGCTTGAGAAGTCCGACATACAGACCCCTGGAAGAATCACAAGTGGAAACACAGTACAATACAAACATTCTTTGCGGACATTTCTTGTGCAATAAACACAGTCGTTTTCAAGAGTTTGTTTGATCAAACAAACATAAGAGAGGACAACTAGGAGCAACAGTGAAATAGAAGAGATCCAACAAACTATCTGAAAATGGAATGCAGACACAGAAACACCTTATTTTTGGTAGTATAAGCAGCACCCTTCATGTCACGACAAGCAGAAATCTACTTTGTTTATCACCGCTAATTTGACCATCGTAGTACGAGCCGCACCAACTTCCGTTGGGTGAATTACCGGTATGCGGCCTATACTCCAGAAAACACCTCGAGTTTCGATTAGCAGTCCCTGCCGATTCAGGGTGGATTGGAGTTTGAACCAACATGGCTGCCCAGTAAAGTCATGTGATAGCTGAACAAAAGTTCTACAGAATACGCCACAGCTCCTTACCTGGGTAGAGTTTCGTGCATGTTTGTGTGGAACGACACGACATCCAGCAGTTGGTTGACCAGCAGTGTGTACGCACTAGTATTCTAGAAACACACACACCACAGAGAACAGGATTACAGTAAATAGGGACAGTCTGGGTAGATAAAATAGGGACTCATTGCATGTCCAAGAGTGTAGAGGGATGCTCATGTGTTCGTATGGCACATAATGTGTGCGTTCTGCCAACGGCCTGGTGCAATTGGAAACACTCAACCACTCCAAACTGCGCCCTTGGCCCACATTCACGACACCATAGCGAGGAAATTCGTTCTTGAAATTGATGATATCTTTTTCAAATGGCCATGTTTACGGTACAGCTTTCAAGTTTCCTCCTGACATGCTTTCGAGCTCAACTAACAGAACTGTAAGTGACTAGGATTCCTCTATAATCCATTGCATACTCTGAGCATTCCTTCCGTGCCTGTATCATGTTTCTACCAATGCCGTACCTGAGAGTGCGGTGGTGGAGAGATGTCCTGGCGCACTGAATTTGTCTGTTAAAAAAAAACAGAACACAAGAAAACAAATGCAGCCGAGAAATTTTTTACGTCCAAGGGCTGCGTAGGAGAATTATGTCCATGCCTGGTGCCATACTTGTCTGATAGGACACAAGTATTGCAGTGTCCGGGTGAGCAAAATTGAACTGCCAATCCAGGATTCATGTGTGTGTGGTAGATTTGGATGAGAGATCTGTTAGCTGTGTGAAAGTGTGTTTGTAATGTGTATGCGTAGGTGCATGTGTATTTTTGGAGAACAAGTGAGAGAGAAAAGAGAGAGAGACACACACACACACACAGACACACACACAGACACACACACAGACACACACACACACACAAACACACACATATACACACACACATACATACACACAGACATACAGACATACACACAGAACAGATTTAGCACCGGAGTAGCGTAACACGTATGCAGAAATTCTTACGGATGCTGAAACGGACACTCCAATGTCGGGTTTCTCCACATTACCGGGCGTGTTGGGCCGGTCTGGGTGAACACGCTTGCGCAGGAATCTAGGAATTGGTATCCAGCGATTGCCTGAGCCAGCTGATTGTGACCTCTGCCGTAATCACAGAAAAAAAATCAATATCTCACACATCCTATATGAATTGATTCAAAGTAGAACTCTGATAACACGTACAGACATGGGGAACATGAAAGGGCACTGAGACTCCCTCGATTTAGGCTAAGTGCAGGATCCAAACGTAAAATATACATTGAGCATCAGAGAAACTTGTACTTCTTATTCGAACATACTCATCTGTAGAGCAATACACCTTTGACGGTTATCCGACCGCTAGAATTCAATGGCTATATAACCGTTAAGTAGTTTGCGGTTACAAACGGTTTTTCATGCACATGTATTGTGTCACAGTGCATGGTGTACAGCACGAATGTTAACGCCAGAGTGCAGGATAGAGCCTTGACCTTGGCAATGTTCTCACCAAGCAAGTGCACATGTTCGCACAGTACACACTGAGTGAGTGCCACTGTATGGGAAGCCTTCTGATGGTCATAAACCAAAACATTGACAATGTACCCCATGGGGTAGATGATAGCTATAGAATTCGAAATGAGAGGCCCTTAGTACCTCCAGTCATTACGATGAGAAATTCCTAAACGTACCGGCACTTGTTTCATGACGGTGACTATGGTACACTTGTTGAAGTCGGTGATGATGTCCGGGTGCAGAATACCCAAGTTCGGTTGGTTGAACGTAAGCTGAGCTTGAATGGCTGCCAGCAGTAGTTTGTGCCGGAACACCAGTGTCGCCGTGGACTGGTCAGAGCCGATCATTGCCTTTAGTGAGCGTGTATCCTTCCAGTTGAAGCAGATCTGAAGCAAAGTACACGGGATAAGACTTTGCACTTGTAATGCTATAAAACTTGGAAATGCTCAAACGAATATGTTTGTAACAGAATGCATCTGTTTAAGACTTTCTTTCAGTATGCGGGCACATAATCTCAGCAATGGTGGACACAAAAAGCCACGTGTATGGTTGGTAAGATTTATCATTTATCGCTACTTGACACCTTACATCACTCATGAAAATTCTCTCAGATAACAAAATAGTCTCTCTGCCGAGTAAACCCTTCAGCTCATTTCAAAATTGTTCGGGCATCTGAGCCACACACATACTTGGAAAATATTACCTTTGAGAACCACATGATGTCGGCAGAGTGCTGTCCCACACTGTGATCTTGATCAACTAGGAGAATAGGCAGATGGCCATCAGCCGTCACTTGCAGACGATTGTCATCCGTGTAGTTCACAACAGCCAGGTATAGAGACCTGGAAAGGGCAAGGGAAAGAGGGAAACGGATAAGGATGTGACCAGCAAACATATCGCAATGGTCTTGCTATTTCCGTTTGAGGCCTAAATGCTATGGAACATTCAGCGTCACGATTTTCAAATTCGCAAAGCGCTACAGTCAATGGCCATGCAAAAGTTCCACACACCTAACATGTGCTTAATCTGCGGACAGAACTGTTCCGTCCTTTGTGGACTCATACATGAGTAACCTTTGGATTGGCTTTGTTACAGTGTTAAAATGACAATACACAGTACACCTTACCCCGCTTCGAGGGTATGTGTGAACTTTCCACCAAACATCTTGAACCAGTTACGCTTCAGACCTCGGCTATCTGTAAGTACATGGCAGAGGAATCACAACACAAACACATACACTGTCACACATAGATTTAGTGTTATTTTGGAGCCATACCGGAAGCGGAAAGGCGGAAAAGCGGTTCTTGATCCACCCTGTACGTGAAACCGTGCAATTGTTTGAAGACATAGAACAAAGTGCGTATCACTGCTCAGCAGCTTCGCCACTATCTAGAAAACAGCTCAGATTTCGATCTAAAAACAATGAAAGTTGAGAAGACGACCACCTGTGCAAGAAGACCACTGCAAGCAGAACCATGGGACCTTGGATAAGGATGCCACCTGGTAACAGAGACCACATTTTGACGGTCGTTGGAGCGGTCTTCTTATCCAGGCTTCACTATACACGACAGATATGCACTGTGCCTGGTGTAACTATATGCGGTTTCTCACTGTGTTATGTATCTCCATACAGCCATAGTGCCCTCCATTTCGAGGCATGTGTCTAAATACTTTGTCCATACAATAATATTATTATTCAATACTACAAACCCCTGTGTTCTGGAAGTGTGAGGGGACTTCGTTTAGCCGGGAGCTAACAGTTGTGCACACGTCAGCCTACCTAGAGCGTCCTCAGTGTCCGCGTCCAGCACACTCTGAGCGAGGCCGTCCAGCGTCATCATGGTGTCATGTGATGTGCATGAGCGGTCCGGTACATGGGTCAGAATAGCATCATCTGTGCCATTACTACCACCATCAGTATTGCAATCATTCACAGCCGTTCTCCAGTCTAGAAGAAAGCACAAGATCAATAAGGATAGGAGCTAGTAATGTTGGGAATCAATGAAATTTAATAAAAAATCATTTCACAAATATTTGAAACAAAGACATGGACACAAATGGTGTAGCAACGAACATGATAGATATGATGTGCAGAAACAGACACAGTTTGGTAATGCAAATGAAATGCCAAGTGCAGCATACTTGAAAGCACACAAGGATGCCCGCCCACTCTTACAAATAAACATAAACACACACACACACACACACACACACACACACACACACACACACACACACACACACACACACACACACACACATACAAGTGTATGCATGCACTGACTGCCAGACATGCACATCCACCAGCACAGCAGCACGCTGGTTGGCCTGTGTCGCCGTATTAAGCTTACTGGATGGTGTGGCACACGATGGCGTTGAGTAGCATGGTGCACTGTACCCCTGCATGTTGAATGCCTCCACATACACATAATATGTCACATCCTGGAGCAAACGACGGACGAGAGGTAATGGCAAACACGTAGCAAAAAAAGTTAATCTTATGAACTAGGGGTAAAACGATTAGTTCGAATACTCGAGTATTCGTTCGAAAATTTCAAACGAGCGAGTATTCGAAATTTTGCACTCGATCGTTTTATTTTTTTATTTTAGTATTGGCATTCTATTTTCAAAAACTTCTGTTGTACCGCTCATCGACTGGTATGCATGCATTTGAGTAGTATTTTATGGCTTGGACGATGCGATCACCACGGCAAGTAACGTTAGTTTGTTATGAGATAATATAAGCGCTGTTGAAAATCGTTACTTTACACTCTATACAAGACGTTGGCGACTTTTGTTCTATGTTCACAGATAATTTATTCCGAATTGGTCGAGAACTCACAAATCTAGCGCTTTTGAATTTTGATAAAAGTACTCGAAATAATCGGATACTCGATCGAATATTACGAATGAGTGATCGATTGGTCAAAATAGATACTCGTTTCACCCCTATTATAAATATTTAGCTTCTCGATATCCAAACCGGCAACATAAAATCAACTGTCAGAAGTTCACGGCATAGATTCAAGGCTATGATAAAGTGGGTGTGATGGTAGAGTTCCAAGGATAGCTGGAGTTTGTTTAGGTAAATGCTGCCCAGGTGAGTACATGCATTGGAAGTATGTTGTCAAATGCGACAATGTTCTACAAATCTAGGCCGATAGCTGGCCTTCAAAATCCACATAGTTACAACTACTCAAAGCATTTTTATAAAGAGCTGCAAACCCCGCCAAGAGTGCTCGAAATGCACCAAGAGCAGTGAGCGTTGCACAAGGCGAGCGGCAAGGGTTCGCGCTAAGGTAAGAGTGCTGAACCTAACGACATTGCTGACTACTAGGGAGCATAATACTCAAATCTGTGGACAGCAACTGTTTCGCTCCGTTAGAGCTCATCAGCACAGCTCAGAGGACCGAAGCGCAGCTCTTCGCAATGAAATACGTTTGCGTGAAGCAAAGCATGTTTATAAAGAGCTGCAAACCCCGCCAAGAGTGCTCGAAATGCTCCAAGAGCAGTATAACTACATAGTAGCCAACTTTAAGTACCGTAATTGTGCAGTCAGATCCCTCCTTTGAATTGCGTCTTCGCTTGAATAGTGCCCCCCCCCCCCCCCCCCGAGCTTGTAATCAAGCACATGTGCAAGTTTGGTGTGCTTTTGTTAATGTCCTTGTCCATGTCATTGCACTGGTGGTTTCAGGATCAAAATCGAAGTTCTTGCTGCCCTTTCGGTTGAGTCGTGATAGTTTACAGTAAACTTTAGCCTCTGTTTTTTCTTTGTTTTATGCTGGATGACGCACATGTACCAGCAGTGAAAAATCAGTGCCCTCTCTTGAGCAGTGCCCCATCTGTGTTGGACATTGTAAAAAATGCCACAGGGTGACTAATCGCGGAAGTACGGTACCATATTTTCCAGAGCATAAGCCGCTTTAAACACCAGTCTTTCGCGCAAAAAAAGTCGGCGCAGATCATACTATGTTGGCCACTTTAATCGTCGCAAATGGGGCATAATGTCTGTATTTCGAGACAAAAAGACCTTAATGCCGGCAAGAGTGTGCAACTCCAGCTATGGGGTCTGCGACGGCAGAACTTCACATCACATGATGAACCCGTACACATTACTTGCACTCTGCGCATGATAGATACAGGGTTGTACGCAACCCAGCTTTGGGTACAACTCTCTCGTGGTCACTTTGCAATGTTTACCAGCATAACCTTTTGAACCATGTCACGTGATGTGAAGTTCTGCGGTCGCAGCACAGCATAGAGGTTGTGCAGGCCGTTGCACACCCTTGGGAGTTATGTACTCTTGACGCCGGCTAATACTCCATACAGTACGGTACACATATATGGCTCAATATCCGGAACAGAGCTTTCCACCAGAAATCAGAACAGTCCGTTTCACTCTTCGTGACCCTCGGGCCACATAGCTGGTGACTAGTTTAAATTGGAAGGATTCAAGGATACGCTTCTGGCCTGTTGCAACATCTGCAGTTTGATAACGACAGCAGTTGAATGTTACCCACTTACTTCGTCCAGATCTTCAATGATATGACACATCACTTGCAGGTCAGTCTTCACGAACTCGTTGCTGTCGGTATAATCAGGAAATGCACTCCAGACAACTGTGGAAAACACAAGCAAGTGAGGCAGGACAATTAAACAATGGTCGAGGAGACAGTAAGCCTAAAACGGCAACGAATAAAACAAATTATGCAGCCAGAGCAATGTGAAATAAAGATCTTTTATATTGTTATGACTGCTCAATTTGTTCTAGTCATTACCATTCTAGGTAGGACAATTTGAAAACAGACAAGCACGACACGTTATTTGTCACAACTGTTTCGGGTTGGCTGGTGATTGTGAGCAATGCGAAACTCACAGCTGAACCAACTATTTGATTATATCTTTCGTCTTGTAGGACTCCTTGTAGGGTAGTGCCTATACTGTTTGTGTGATGCGTAGCTTTTTAGCTATTCAGTACTCTATTCAGTACTCTCCCAACCATGACTGATGAGATCTATATGATCGAAACAGCTCTATGGAGGAAGTGAGCAAAGAAAAGGATAAACTGGAGAGTGCAGCCAGTGAGGTGTTTGGACTAAATGCATGATAAGTCTTCGTAGCATAAGGTATGATCTGTTCAAACAGCTATATGGAGGTAGTGGAGCCAGACCAATGTCCGCTAGAAAATGCATGTACTGGGTAATTTCGGTCTTTCAATGCAAGTGAAGTCTTCATATCATTTGTGTCGGTGTGACAGTGCTAGGTAAGACACTGTATGAACAAATTGTGACTTACTCTTGTATCTGGTGACAACGGCACCGTTGGTTTCCTCCGGCTCGTCGAAATCCACCCGCAGTGCTGTTGGCGACATGACGGAAAGCTTGACCCACTTCGGTGGCTCTGACGCCTCTGCGGTGCAGGCAATAACACGAGGAACACACAAACACACACAAAATGTAAATATTGGCATAAACTGGAGCTGGAAGTTTGCCTAAATTTAATATCAATGTATATTCTCAATTTAATCACCAATTTATTCCACTTGAAGAGTAATGGTATGAAAGGCTTAGTCGAAACTATGTGGCTTCTGTGGTTTGCTTCTCTCCAACCAAAAGTCAAAAATTCCCAATTGTTACTACTAAAGAGAGGACCGTAGGTCAACAAGTAATCTGTTTTGTCGGACACTAACAATTATTGTGTGTTGCTCTCTACATGGGAGCTGGTGGCTTTCCTGCCGACTTGAGTTCTCACTTGACTGACTCATGACAGCCATCCAGAGCACACGAGTCGTGAGTCAGTCAAGTGAGAAGTCAAGTCGGCCGGATACCCGCGAGCTCCCATGTAGGGAGCAACACACAATCCCACAAGTGTCGCCGAAGTCGCACCAACCTCTCCTTTACTAACTATTATACTTCAAGTATAAACAAAAAACCTGTTTATCATAATTATAAGCACGTACTGGCTCTGTCATAGATCTGCAGCATACGCCGAAGTGTGTGATACCTCCACTCCCAGTCGCGCAGCTGACGTTCATACTCCTGGGGAAAGATGTGGACACAAGACACACATAACATCAGGTGAACAGATGGAGACTTTTTTGGGAACACAGCCCCATGCTGTGTGATCAGTCGTGTTCAGTCGAAAAAAAAACACACACAAAAAACCCAGGTGGAGACTAGATTGTGTGATTTGCACAACAAAATATTCACGGTTCGTGTGAGACTCGGTCAGACTGAGTATTTTGCATATGTAGGAACTCCACCATCTCTATGATCGAGGCACACACGCAAGAATAGGCCATGATTAGGTAATAAGCTTAGTTTGCTCATGGTACCTACTGAAATGTACGAAAAGACCCAAATAATTTCACTTGCAGCATACCTTTAGCTTTGAGCTTGACGCAGTCAGTGAGCCTTGTGGATGGTTCACCCCGACACCATTGGGCATGCCACCACCCAGGTTGACAACACTGGTCGTCAGCTTCTCCACCTGCTCTTCAGCCTCCGTGACCAGGGTAGTGAGTCGCACACTGCGAATGTAGCGGTTCTTGATAACTGCATGAAGAAATAAAAATACATTCCACAGAAAAAATGAAAAACGGTGGGGCACAGGCTTTACATTAGAGTCCACCAGCTGATACAGGTTTTCCAACAGTCAGACGTGCACAAGGTAGCAAGCACCACACTGACAAGGAGTTCTGAGACATTGCACGGCAAGAAATGAAATGTTTTCATTAATAAATTTCACGGTTCCCGCTAAACTCAGACTGAGCTTTCCGCATCTGTGGCACGCCACCACCCTCGAGGACCAAAGGTGCACATGCAGCTCCTGAAGCGGTGGGAGGTGAGCAGATCGGACCCAACACAAACAGAGGGGGGGGGGGGGGACAGGTAGGCGATCGGGCACAAGAAACTCATGACAACTACGGCAAATCATGAAACCGAGAAGCCAGTCAGTGAACAGCACTGAAAAGCTCGACTTTCAACCAGAGACATACTGCATCTTTCTGTCCTTACAAATAGGGTTTTCCTTGCCACCATGCTTCATGATAAGCTTTGCAATGACCACCGCATCCGTCATGACTGCCACATCTAGCGGTGTGTGGTCTTCAGCATTGGTCCTGTAGCGAAGAAACAAGAAGAGAAAACTACCACTGAAGAGCTGACAGTTTCCTGAGTGAGTCTAAACAATAATGGCTTCTGAGACCACACGCAAAAGAGCTGACTATTCCAGTGGAAAAATTGCTATCGACTTCAGTTCAATGTCATGCTCTACATGCAATCACTGTGAGACGTTTCTAAGCCGACCACTCAAGAGACATTCTAAACCTGGTCATTGTAGCCAAAACGTATGAACAAGTCGAGAAGCAGCAATTTAATGCGAATAGCCAAATGCTTTGCCGTCAAAAAGTACTGACAAATTATTGGCTTGTGATCAGAGTGCCAGAAAGTGAAATGCATAGCAACCGGCACTTACTCGTTGATGTCAAAGTTTGGTGACTGCGTGATGATAGCCTCCGCACCGTCAAAGTCTTGTCTCTCAATGAAATCAAACAGCTCTAGTAACAGTTTTACGTAGAGACCATACACAGACACACGCACATACACACGTACCCACACATACAAACATACATCCGTGCACACACAGACACACATGTAGACGTATGCGCACAAACACACACACACACTTACACACACACACACATACACACACACACACACGCACACACACATACACACACACACACACACATACACGCGCAGGCACACAGACAGGAAAAATTCAGGGCAACGCATATCAGAATAGAGCAAACCTGATAGCAAAGAAGCTGCATATTTCGTGCCCGGTGCTTCAGAGATACACATGTGGCTAATGTGTAATTTGTCACAGAAATACTAGACGGTGCACCTTCAGTCCATTTATCCAAGATTATCCCTTGGGCTTTCAGAGCCCTGATCTAGAAAACATAGGTAAATTCCCGCCTAAGAGACAGGTCTGGATTTGGGACCTGCAGCGCTATACTCATACACCTGGCCATGCTAAATCCAGCCTGAAATTTCAGAAAATTAACCCAAAGTTCTACCTCCCTCACTGGTAAACAATGATGAATTGCAAAGTGAGCATGCACCATGCAGGATCCACGATTACTTTCATTGTGAGAACAGTACTGTCGGTTGCCGGAGAACTGGGAGGGGGGGGGGGGGGTCAGCCTCATAGCCTAGACCGTTCCTATTGTGTATGGCAGTCTATGCACAGATGAGTCACCGTGAATACATCAGTATGCTGTGCTTGGTAAAAGTCATTCTTCGACACCAAACAGTCCTGCACCTATGATACATAGCGGTACTAATCATCTAATGATGGCGTACGTACAGGAGAGCGTTAGTTGGCCAGGTTAGCATGAAGGCATTGTGACCAGCTGCATTGTGGCGGTAGGATGTTTATAAGTCTACTTCAGGTCCACCGGAACTCAAGCGAGATCATAGATCAAGGGCATGCATGGAAATCGATTTTGAGTCATTCACTGATACACTACACAAAACACGGGGAGTGACAGGGTAAGTATGTGATGAATGTAAGTTTGCAAAGAGGCTCACGGTCAACTGGATTCATCTTCTTCTTCATGTTCAGTAAGGTTCTCCACGGTGGTGCTGGCCCTGGGAGACACAACCACACGCACACGTGCATACACCCACGCACATGCACACACACACACACACACGCAAACGCACACACACACACACACACACAAACACACACACACACACACACAAACACACACACACACACACGCAGACCCGTACACACGCACGCACACGTGCATAGGTGAGCCAGGTGGTCGCAGCAATAACAAGCTGACACTTGATCATGTCAGAGAGCCAAGTATGCACGAGTACAGTGAATGGCAACAGCATAGAGAGAGAGAGAGAGAGAGAGAGAGAGAGAGAGAGAGAGAGAGAGAGAGAGAGAGAGAGAGAGAAGAGAGAGAGAGAGAGAGAGAGAGAGAGAGAGAGAGAGAGAGAGAGAGAGAGAGAGAGAGAGAGAGAGAGAGAGAGAGAGAGAGAGAGAGAGAGAGAGAGAGAGGGAGAGAGAGAGGGAGAGAGAGAGAGAGGAGAGAGAGAGAGAGAGAGACAGAAGACAGAGAGAGAGAGAGAGAGAGAGAGAGAGGAGAGAAGAGAGAGAGAGAGAGAGAGAGAGAGAGAGAGAGAGAGAGAGAGAGAGAGAGAGAGAGAGAGAGAGAGAGAAGAGAGAGAGACAGACAGACAAACAGAATGTACACGAATGTGAAATGTAATTCTATGCTGGTCATGAGAATCAGGATCATGGCACTTGTATTTCAGTTGGTCTGGCCAAATGGGATTATTCACCGGAAAAGGATATTATTGACGGAAAATTCCTTTTTGCACCATTTGGGTGTGTCAACTTTTTCGATGGCCGGACCTACAAGACACTATCATGTAGTCACGGTTCTTCGTTGAGCGAGCCGAACACGAGAAGAGGTATGAACATTGGTGGACGGGATAAGTCATTTCGTCATTTGAAATGCCTCTGGTAAGGCCCTGAGAACTGACCCCCCCCCCCCCCCCCCCCTGCAACATGTACGCTTGGAACAGTGTTTGTTTTGTTCAGCATGTTGTTCCCTATCCATGGTTGTACATACCAGCCGGTGCTTGCGCTGTATTGCTCGTGGGGTGGACGACGTCAGGGTACTGCTGGACGGTGTGCCAGTGCTGGTGTTAAGAGTGGCAGATGACGGCCCATCATCGGCCAGGATGGTGGTCGAGAGGGCTGCTCGGCAAACTGCTGGAGATGAGACTGGTCATAGTCTGTGGAAACAAGAATAACGGGAGACAAATCTTTTCACAAGAAAGATGGAGATTTTCGCACACATGGGTTAACTCATGTCAATCCACGTCATCAACAGGGCTAGCAGTTTACATGTAGGATTGTGTGACTCATTCTGTATATTATGAGTTAGTCAGAGGTGAACATTTTGGGGCAGGGTTAGCTCTGAAAATGTTGGTGATTGGGTGAAATACGATACAAATGCAAGACATACTGGTCTCCATCTGCCTGCCCATCGACAGAGCTGACCGAGCTTCTCGTGACCATGACTGGATGGGGGTTCAGCTGATAGGGTCATTGCCGCTGGTGGTTGGCTAGTTTAGATGACCGGTTCGGGTCAGGATGGAAACGTGTACTCCTGCTGCAGAGCACACCAACACAAGCCAAGAGAAACGATACTAAAGTGTGTTTCAAAATATAGATGCGTGATTTCCAAAAACTGTTAGGCCACCATCTATACCACATAAAATCTGTGATCATGTTGTGCATTAAACAATTGAAATTGGGCCTTTGCTATCCGATCGCCTAAAATTCTATGAGAGAAATTGCGGGAAGGAACCGAGCAATCTTCCGAAAAGAATTCTCAAAAGCTATTATTTCAAAAATACCATGCATCTATGCGTCTACATTTTTGTACAGTGGAATTCACTGAGTTTGTGCCCTGATACGACATGTTCTTGGTTTACACGGACTTTCTCCGATCCATGATCAGATAAGAAGTGTCTAGGTTAGTAGGAACATTTTCCTGCAGCCCATGGAGGGGGGGGGGGGAAGTACGGCTTTATCAGAGTTCTACTGCAGTTTACATAATAGTGTAAAGCTCGGGCTGCTAGTAGTACCGGAGCACATAGAAATACCCCCAAACAAGGAAGGATGGGATAAGTTTATGAACTATCAAACAGCATAAGAAAACAAAAACTGTGTGGTACCTGTCGGTACTGATTTTCGGAATGGCTTACAGTCGAATTTATGCAGGATACTGTTTTGGAATGATTTCTAGTAGAATTTAGCCAGAAGTTGATTGGTGGATTGTTCTTCTGAATGGTTTTACTGCTACTTTCAAGTATAATGATACGGAAGATCACTGTGCCTGGTTTCCATGCAAAGATTATGTTGACATCATTTACACAAGAAATACCTGAATGTCGGCAGATTTGGACGCTTTCTCCAGCTTCTTGTTCTTCCCGCTTGCCCATCGGCGAGGGTTGGCGAAGCCGAACAGCCGCTTGCCACTGCGCTTGTCGCCTGTCATGTGAACGAACAGCATAGGACAATGTATCTAAGGGATAGCACAGAAACTATCAGGCTCGCTAGAACCGGTCCGGTTGGTCAGGTTAACACCTAATCAGCCCATGTTTACAAGTGAGGAGATTATTCGTAACAGTTATATCACACACAGAGTATGAAAGGCTTTGGTATGGCGGGTCCGATATAAAACTGCTTCTGGCGGCTCTGAAAATGTATGGTAGTGGCAATACAGAACAATGGATGGTAGTAGCAACCCACACTCGTTGACCAAAGTTTTTTTTTGGTGTAAACTTGTCCTGCGGTGTCCAGAGAATTGCACTAAAATGAAGTGAAACTGTCAAGAGGGGGTTGGCCAATGGGCTTATTGCTCAATAACTAACATGAGTTTATCTAGAGAACAATAAGCATACACTTTGCCGGCCATCAAATGACAGTGACCATTGGCGGTACTCTATTGTTTCCCGTGTATAAGCCGCACTGGTATATTAGCCGCACCCAGATTTTTTGTCGCAAATTACAGAAATCTACAGTGAATAAGACTGTTCATTTGGCCATCATATTATACGACGCGTCGACCTTTTGGAGGGGGGGGGGGGAGTGCGAGTGCAGATTTTACTCCAGAAAACCGGTATATCTCAATGTGGAGTAGAAATGACACAGACATGCTGTGTACTAGTATATTGCAATGAACATAGAAGATCACCAAGTGCTTCTCACCACTCGATGGTCGTTGGAGATTGGCAGCGGGTATCTGTTCTGCCGTTGCTTCCACTTCGTTTGTACCGACAGCAGGCTCCGCTTCGTCATCATCTGCCTTCTGGCTGTCGAGCGAGTCACCATGTCCATCATGCTGTGGCGATAAGTCCTCTAAGCTTCTTGAACTAGGCTTCTTCAACCTGGAACCGAAGACAAAGGCAAAGGTAAGACTGTCAGTGTCGGCGAGATCCTTATCAGGAAATACCCGCTAGCATTCTGTTCCATGTTGTATACAACATACAAACTCGTAGCTTCAACTAAGAGTTATAAGAGCTGCATTGCAAAGCATGGTTTTACCGGGTTTTCGCAACCCGGCATTTAGTTAAAAGTAAAAAAACATCCACACATCTGTTACGGTACATGTCTAAACCGTCTTCACCGAAGACTTGGCATATACTCCTCTAAAACACCGATATATCCGTGTGCAAGGAGTGCGCGGATTTACTGAAAACTGAGAGATAAGTATGATGGGCCTTTCGATGCAGCTTTTCATTTGACCGGGTAAATTAGCTTATCGTACCAATGACAGAATTCCTGGTTTGACGGATAATCCGTTACCGCACTGGCCCTAATCATTAGTGGGCTTGCGGCGGCTGCAACAACAGCCATGGCCAAGCTGCCAACGCTTCCTGATCGGTTCTTTAACATGACCAAAGGATAGAGCACGGACCAGGTCAACAGCTTTCACTTGGTGTGATGAGGTTTTGCTGGTTTCACCGACACAATGAAAAACCTTTTACTCCGAACTGTCGTGGTAGTGCTGGATATTTCCAAGCTATGTGGCGTTGATGTACATATTCACGCTCTGCAGCAGTTCTGCATATGTCCACAGATCAGTGGCACAGGCCAGGTGCATACACCAGGAACACAGCATCACAGAGTGGCTGGAAATCAGACCACCAAACCCATTCACGTTCATACGACGTGAGCCGGCGTCAACGCTTCGGAATCGGAACAACCACTGTGCTTTTCACGACAACACTGGGCCTATCTGAAGCTGATCGTGGTTGACCATTTTCTATCCGTTGGAACTAGGCTAGCGAATCGACCACTCAATCAAACCACTCCGGTGATGGAGCATGGTTGATTCACTAACCTAGTGATTGTTCACATCTCTAACCCAGTGATGCTGACTCGCATTGTGTGTATATGTACATGAAGGATTTTGGCAAGCTGTTCTCCAGTCACCCAGGGACATTCCTCTCAGTCCATCGACGTGACTTGTACAGAACTGGCAAGGAACTTGGAGTATACTTTAACGACGCATAGATACACCATACACCTTAGTAAACAAAAACCGTTTCAGTTCATCAAGAAAGAGTCTTGGTTTGTTTTTGTCTCCACATGTGTCTTAGTAAGGCTGTGTTCCCAGTTAAAAAAAGGCTAATACAGCTCATATTACATACAAACTAAGACAACTTAGCCCCAGGAGATTGGGATGGGGCAGCGAGGACACAGCCAGTATCAACATCAATGTGACACAGATGGTTCCATATACATCCTCTACATCTGATCTGTGTATTCGTTACTGTTCCACCACTTGTATTATTAGAACATACACAACCGGGCCTAGTCAATAAACACGCACAGCTGGTTTGCACAGGGTATTCTGGCAACGGAACCTCCCGGATTTACTGATGTGTGTGCGTGTGTGTGTTTAGTTCAAGGTATATGTTGTGTGTGTGTTTTTTTAGTTCAAGGTATATGTTGTGTGTGTGTGTGTGTGTGAGTGCGCGAGTGCGTGTGTGTGTGTGAGTGTGTGTGTGTGTGTGAGTGCGCGAGTGCGTGTGTGTGTGTGAGTGTGTGTGTGTGTGTATGTGTGTGTGTATGTGTGTGTATGTATGTGTGTAGCAGACAGTGTAACCGTTCATTCCCGTTTTGCATTCCCCAATTTACAGCAGGGATTCGCAGCAGTATGAACAACGGAAGTTGCTACATCCTACAACACACAACACTCTGGCCTTAGGGCTTTGACCATGCACCCCTTTTGATCAAATTCATCAAACGAGTCCAGCTGTACAAACTTTACTTGACAGCATGGATAGCGGAATACGTCAATTCAGAGTGGGATTCGGAGTACAAATGATCAAAGTCAGAGGTGACCATAATGTTGGTACAGGTCCTCCCTCGTTATATAGTCCGGTCAGTACATAAACCCCGTTTGTAAATAGAAATCTAAAATCCCCTGGCGAAACATGGTCTATAAGACTGTTTACAGGTCCGGTTACAACATAATTACATCATTATTAATGGCACAAAGATTATCTACTAACGAGGGAGGACCTGTATTGCCATGAATATTTTCACTGATTAAGGCAACGTCTCGACCCATGTGAGCACCTCACACATTTGACTGCTCTCCCTCTGAGACAGCGTAGCCAACCCCGCCTCGTCATTTGTTGCGGGACGGATTATCGCAACTTCAGCCCATTTTGATGATAGTACGAGAAGCATTTAGCCATTTCCCATACACTCATACCTCTCTTATCCGGACCTCAAAGTTACGGACACCTCAGTCTACGGGGCACCCTGTGGGTGACATTCAGTGGAAATATTACTACTCTGGTGGAAATAGTGACGTCACATGGCTGTATCAGGCGAATGATCACGGATTTGATTTCCAGGTTATCATTCAGATACATCCCAGTCTGTGAATTTACGGTAAAGGGTAACTCCTATGATGATAGAAATATTCTTTTTTTTTGTTATAGCCGAGGTACGGCATTATTATAAGTTCATTGAACACGTAGAGCATAGTGCAGGGTCATCAAAAACTGGCACGTCACAGTAAAACCGGTGACTAACGACCACCCATTGGGGCCAGAGAAAGCGGTCTTTAGTGGCAGGTGGTCCTTAGTTAGAGGTTTTCACCGCACAACCATACATGAATGTGAGACTGTCCATGCCTGGCAAAGTGGTCAGTAGTGCCCGGCTGGTCGCTAGTCACGGTGGTCTTCAGTTACAGGTTTTACTGAATATCCATAGTCCTTTATGCTGAACTGTTTTGGATAAGGTAACATTCTCACCTTCCTGCTTTCCCCATGCTCAGCTTTCTTCCCAGCAGCCATCCCTTGCCATCGGTGGCGGTCGTTGCCGCCTTCGCAGCAGCACCACTGTCCGTTGAGCCGCGGGAGCTCTTGCGCCGCAACGAACCACGACGCTGCTCAAATCCCAAGTGTTGCGGAGAACTAGACAGTGCGCAGTCCGGTGTAAGCTGGTTTGAACCTGGACTCGGCGAGCCCTGAAACAAGAGGAAACAACAATGATTCGTGTTGATATTGTCTAAATTACAGCGAAACACACATGGTAAAAACTCAAATAAGACATACTTGTTGCCTAGTACTGACTAAAGTCGTCGAGAGCAGCGGTGTGGTGATCCATACTGAAGTCTATTCGAATCCGAAGTACTGTCGTGGATATGGAAGTCAGGTGAAATGACCGCGGCCGGAACCGTTATTTGCTTAGCGAGTACACCCGCTGTAACACTGTGAGAATGGACCAGTAGTGCGCACTGCTGCGCGGTCAGTACCCCGTGGCCGCTTGACTTCTCAGCGGAATTCAATGTCCGCAATAGTACAACCGGGCAGCAGAAAGGCAACGTGAAGTAACAGATGGAGATGCACTGTCCTTATATCCCCCCCCCCCACCATCCAACATCTTTTACAGGACTAGAAAGTGCTATGCTAGAGTCAGGCTGGAGTCATCACAGCGCTGATTCACTCAAGTCCTTCAACATTTGGGGTGGTTTGGTTTCCTTCACAGCCGGGTGACACGTCCGTGAGTAGTGAGTGAGTGACCTGGGCGCTCTAGGTCCAGGATCTACTACAGATACTCAACGCGACATGAGAGTGTATCTACCAAATATGGTACTACAAGTACTACAATATGGCCAGAGTGGATCCAATGGAACCCATAAGTCATAATTTGTTGACTTCTGACACCATCACTTTCAAGCCATATTGGACACTATGGACAGGAAGATTCACCCACCTGGAGCTCAAACCCATCGCTCTGGTTCGACGGAATTCGCATCAGCGCATTAGATGAGCCAGTAGGGGCTGCTACCGCTGCTGCTCCTGCTCCCGTAGCAGCATCGGCGCCTGCTTCACACATGGACGCCGGGAGAGGATCTCCCTCGCCGGGCAGAATCAGACTGTCAGATTCGCGTGACACTGTTGGTGAGCGTGGCTGGAACTTTGGCGATGCGCGCGGCGAGCCGCTTGACTGACGAACAATTCGATGATGCCGTAGTGTGTGTGGTGCTGCGAGAGTCATTCATAGCATAGATATGAAGAAAGAGAAGGAGATAGAGAATGAGAGAGAGAGAGAGAGTGAGAGAGAGAGAGAGAGAGAGAGAGAGAGAGAGAGAGAGAGAGAGAGAGAGAGAGAGAGAGAGAGAGAGAGAGAGAGAGAGAGAGAGAGAGAGAGAGAGAGAGAGAGAGAGAGAGAGAGAGAGAGAGAGAGAGAGAGAGAGAGAGAGAGAGAGAGAGAGAGAGAGAGAGAGAGAGAGAGAGAGAGAGAGAGAGAGAGAGAGAGAGAGAGAAAGAGAGAGAGAAAGAGAGAGAGAGAAAGAGGGGAGAGAAAGAGGGAGAGAAAGAGAGAGAGGGAAAATAGGAGTTAGACACAGAGGAATAGAGAAGAATAAAAGGACAAAAGGACCAGAAAGGTAGTTGTGTTAGACCATTCATAGAGACACAGCAGAGAGTACATACGTTAGCAATGGAATTAGGCAAAAAGAATACAACTAGTTTCATTCAATAATTATATGATTTAAAAATAAAAATGCTGGGTGCATACACTCTGTGATTTGATATCAAGTTATCAACCGGCATTACAACTTACATGTATTCTTTGGTACAATCGACGGTGAATCTCCACCAGCAGCAGCCGCTGATGACGCTTTGGGTATGATGTCTATTTCGGCGCCGTGACGCGCATAGTTATGAGCGCGTAGCACTGTGGGTTTCTCCTCTTCCTCACTGTTCACAGCAGCGAGCTGCGGATCTGCGTCGTCGGCAACGTCCAACCGATGCGGCTTGTGCTTGCGAGCTTGCCCAGAGGTGTCCGGAAAGCGAAATGCGTCATCATCGTCTTCGGACCTCCGCCGATGGTGTCGTCTGGAGGAGCCGTGTGCCACGGTATGATGACGGCCAGCTTTGCCGGCGCTTGAAGAGCTCCCCGGTTTCGTGCGCAGAGGCAGCGACGACGGCAGTGGCAGCAGCGTTGCGAGGTCAGCTTCCGACGGCGGTGGCATGTCCGAGCGAGACAGGCTGGACGTGGACACCTCTGCCGAATTGAGCGCACCGCTGCTGCAGCTGGGGGTCTTGAGCAATGCGGGAGAATGGAAGGCATCGTCGTCTGCACGTAGGGCAATCAAGAAGAGCAATGATTAGTACAAGCAGTACAGGAGAGCGTACATGCACGTTGTGTGAGTCCGTCAAGAGAACAAATGATCATATGGTGTGTATTTGATTAGACCCAAGGCAGCAACACCACTAGACAACACGGAAACAATGATGAACCGAGATGATTTATGGACACGCATGCAGTAGTAGGCTTTCAAACTCATCAACGACACAAGCGTCAGATCAAATGATACATCCACAGCGCTTTTCCATTAGCTTGCATTGAATGATGTTAGACGGATCTCCGACAAGATTAGAGCAATTTTTAGCTTTGACACCTGATTATGTAATTGTGAGCGACCAATGTGATCGCAGATTGTGGGAGATGAGCTCAGGAGAGTAAAACATAATTATCTACAAGCCCAGTCAGTCCTCTCATTGATATGATGACAAAATTACCTGTCTATGACTAAATTATCTGTATGACACACCCAGGTATTTCCCCACAAATACAACAATCGCACTTCATACATGAACATTTGAGGGAGCTGAAAGGGAAAAAGTCTGCACAAAGTCTGGACTTGCCTGGGTGTGCATGAACTGTCGTGGACATGGAAATCCGGTCGCACGTCTAGCGGCCCCAGGGCGCTGGCCATGTAGCCGTGGATAAGCGGTACACACATGCATTTATGCGCTGCAGCGTGCTGGTCGCATCGGATCAACAAGTGCACTGCACACAGCATTCTGTACGCGCTGAGGGCGCCGGCCCCGGCCAAATCGACTGGATTTCCATGTCCACGACCGTAGTTGTGTGTGTGTGTGGGGGGGGGGAGGGGGGGGGGGTGGACGGGAGGGGGAGAGGGGCCTTGACTCCTGGCCAGTGATGCCCTACCCCATATCCAAGGTATCTAGTCCTTCGACACAAAGCAGACAGGAGGTTTGCCATGTGCTGACTGGTGCACATCGGCTAATATAGTATGTTTATCCAGGAGGGCTGAGTCAAGCCTTTCAGTCAGCCTTCACACCCACCTCCTGGGTAGGAGGAAGAAATTTCAGCAAATAATCTCAGCTCCCAGTCAAACCCATCACCTGGACTTACTGGTGAGCCCACTTCACACTGTGTACACTCAATTTGCTTTACTCTATGTGTAGTAGTTGATGAATGTACAGGAGTAAGAGTGTGTTGCCAATGTTGGGACAGTACAAGTACCCTGGAAATGCACAGGCTTCAGTCTGCGCTGTAAAGCATACTAAAAAGTATAATGACCACTTACTGTCATTTGTAAACAATTACACACAGCACAAGTTACTTCTTTACACATTACTCACAAGGTGTGCAACATTACTCTTCATTCATAATATTGAACTACCAAGTGCATTTCCTTCCAAACTTTTGATGTACAGACAAACATGCGATTAGGGGTAGTCACTCCAGAACCCAAACCGTTTCTCCCTTCTACAACATGTAAAACGTTACGTACACCTAATCACCATGAGTCATTGAATGCATGATCACATCGACACGTAGATCTACTGACATTCTTTCCTATGCATTTTGAGAACTAATATTATTACTTCCGTGACGTTGGCCCTGGAGTCTCGTGAACTCAAATCACTCACAAACAATCCCCGTGCCAACATTACCTTCCTCTTCTGAGTCACTTCTGGCTTTTTGCGAAGGAAGGAGAACCAGCGATGATTGGCGACCCACGTCCTTCAATCGACGCGGTGCCTTTTCTTTCTGCTTTCCCCTGGATAGCATTGTACCGAAAGAGAATTTCTTGCTGCTCGTTGACTTGGTGGACTTCACAGACGCCGTACTGTGAACGCTGAGACAGGATAGGGCTGGTTTGAGTCGTGGCGCATCCTCGTCGTCGTCCGCGCCCTCTCCATTGGCCGTACTACTTGTGCCCTCTGTTGACACGGTGCGCTCCGGAGCGCTCAGCTTGGAGGCATCGTGCTTGCGTCGACCTAGCGACCAAGAGCGAACAAGTCGCGTTGCTCTACTCGTGGATGTAGAATTTGTAGAATTCATTTCTCCGCTCGTGCCGGAAAGACTTTCCCCGCCGGTCGCCTGCTGGTATGCAGACGCAGCAGCCGACCCGGAATTCTTCACTGGAGAGAATGATAGAGCGTGCTTCTTCCACGGTGGCTCCATGTCGTGCAGCGCTGCGCACTCGAGGCGCGCTCGCAGGATTTCCGATTGACCGACCAATGCTCGCGTACAAGAAACTGGAGCTAGGTCAAGTAGCCGCTCTGCCCACTACTACTACACCATGCCGATGCTAAGTTTGTTGGCATGAACAAATCCCTGAATAACAATCCTGAGCCTCAGGGATCGAGATTCTCACAGGCAACAGCCTGCTCTCTCTCTTTCTTCAAAATACTTGTAAATAATAATAATAATTATTATTTCTAGTGGAAAGGTGCAGGACAGTTCAATGCTAGAAAGTCCACACTGCTCCTCCCGAGCTAAACAGCCTCAACTCCAAAGTCCATCACAGTCATTTTCACAAGTATCCACGTGATGAGAGAGATTCCGTAATTAGGTTCGAAACACTCCGGAGACTCCGCACTGCCATGAAGTCGTTCGAGCTCGCGAGGCCAGCTCAACAATGTGTAGTTCATACTCAAGTAATTCGAATTTTTCTTTGTGATTGCCTGGTGGCCGGCCTGGGAACGTCTAGTGGTGACAGAGAGGATTGGCCTTGAGTCTTGACTCGCAACGGCCTGGAGTGTTGGATATGTCGTTGTGCAGTCAGACGCTCCTCTTCTCGGTTACAATCATTTGAAGACCAGGCTAGACGGCTGTCAAGTTTGCATCCCAGAGCTGGATCTGACAGGCTCGTGAAAAGGGCCCAAAAACGATCATGCTTTCTTGCTGTACTAGACTATAGTCATGACAGTGTGACAGAGACTCGGGCCGGCAAGGTGGGATTATTTTTTGTGTTGTTGTGATCTGCGTAGATCTGTAACCAGAGTGATATTTGGCGAAGCCCATTCCTTTCCAGTTTTCAAGTTGACACTTGACAGTTTTATCGGTCTGACCCGGCACCTCCTTGCGTTTCTCCGGTCTCTGGCCACCCATCACTCATTAGCTTGCCTGGCGCGTAGATCTAGTACTAGATTCCTTTGCATTCAGTTTTCACAGACTTGTGCAAGTGGTGGAGCCGCCATGGCGTTACAAAGTCCATTTTGCTGTGTCACTGAACTGAAGCCCTAGCCCTAAGTAAGTAACTTTTGGCCCAAGCTGTTGCACAGTCATGGCCAAAGAAATCCGACCAACATGTATGAGTATGAGCCCAAATAGCGCCGAGGCCTTTGCACAACGTTAGTTTGCAGCCCCTGGAGTTCCCGGATGCGTGATGAAAAGTGGCGCTACTTTCTTTTGACTCGTGGGTCGGATTTATCCGGCCTCGCCTCCATACTACCATATATCATAGGGTACAGGATCGGTCGGTTTCGTGTGCAATTTTTCACACTTCTTTATCGCACGGCGAGGCTGTCGTTGCACATTCGCGCAGCCAGTAGAGTAGAGGATCTATGTATACCTGGTGTCAGTGCATGTGATGCCATTCACCCACGCAACGAGCAGCAGAGATCATGTGGAAGTGACTCTTCAGTTGAAGTAACATTTCGAGAGGTGTGTGAGTCGCGTGCACAAAACTCGCGAAGCGTGAGGTGCGAGGTCGGGGACTTGTTGGCAGTGGACACGTTTTGACAGTTTATTCACACTCTAGATCTAGCTGAATAGTTTTGAGTGCATGTATTCAAAGGCTCAACGTGTTAACATTGCATGCTGACTAATAGTACATGTAGGCAATAGATAAAATCAATGACAATGTACTTGAGAATGCATCCTTCAGTCAATGTTCCTTTCTGATTGCCTAACATACTTGCCTGTATTTCAACGACTCCCTAAAGCCAAATGGCTACGTATCCTGGTGGAATTCTCCGCCAGAGCATCTACCCTCTTTTCTTTCGTCCTATAAAGAGCACTTAGGGTTACCTGTCACAAGGTGGCAACGTCTGTAGGGCCTTCCTTATCAAAAGAACGAGAGAGCTTGGAAGCTCAGGGCCCTACGCTATGCTTTTTTGCCTTGATGACCTAGACAAAAAAGCATAGGGATGTTAAAAATTCTTATAAGTTTCTACTTTTTGTTTGAGACATAACCTGGGATTCGAACCCGCACCATCGCCCTGCATGCATCCCCGATACACTTCGCATACATACTAACTCTTCCAAGTTGCTTCACGTTATGATCTTGTATTTGAAAGCCCTATTTGAATAATTATGCATTGTGGCCAGCCGTCTTTGAATGTAAGGTACGGTACGGGATAGGTACGGGACAGGCACGGGATAGGTAAGGTCGAGGGTAATACGACACCGTCTACCGCCTTGATGACGGCAAAAAAAGAAAAGGGATGTTATAAATTTTTCAATTCTCCTATTTTTTAAGGCATTACCTGGGACTAGAACCCGCACTATCGCCCCACATGCATTCCCCCATACACTTCGCATTCATACTCATTCTTCCAAGTTGCTTCACGTTATGATCTTGCGTTTGAAAGCCCTATTTGAATATTTCGGCCAGCTGTATGTGGCCAACTGTGTTTGATGGTACGGTACGGGACAGATACGGGATAGCGCCAGGCGTGACACAAACACACAAACAAAAACACCAAATTAAAGCTGTGTGGACCCTGGCTAGCGCCAGACGTTACTGAAGTAACGTCTTCTGCATAGCTACGGGAATAAAATCCTACTGCTACTACTACTACCATCTGATTGTGTTAGTTGGAATTGCATGTCCCACTGAAAGCCTTTAGCTGCCCTCGGCTGAGAAAGGAATTCAACACACTTCGATACAACTGGCACACAGTTTCTGTGAATGCTTTCAGACGTGTTTTTCGTCTTGTAAAGGATAGCAAGCCGAGATACAAGTATGGCAAAATGATTGCCAAGTATTGGTTTCCCCAGGGTCCCGTTCATTTCTTCATAGTTTCTTCATCATTTAAAATGATGATTGTTATCATGATATACATGTATCTTCATTTGGATTTACCGCATTTACGATACGAAATACTCTTGATTAACACAAACATTATCTTCAACTGACAGAAACACCAAACCAAAGCTGGGGAGCTTCTGAGAAGCTTGAGCTAGATGGTTCGAAGTTCCAACTTCATGACCAGTTTCATCATCCAGAACATCCTTTCTCTTCCGCAATAATCATTCCAAGGATTGCTACCTGCACCGTGACCCATACAACTAAAGAGCAGCAGTGGCGGCACCAATGAAGGATGGTTAAGTTCGTTACGAAAAATCCAAAGGAAACCGCTGCCCACAGTTGCTTTCCTTGGCCGTGGTAGAGCAACACAAAGTAACTGTGACTTCCTGAAGCTCTCATACCTGGCACACTCAAACGATTGTGATCCTTTGTACGGCATTTGCCGGCATATAACACACACCTGTGTACAATGCCCCCCCCCATCTTTTAGCAATGTTTTGTCAATTTTAGGTATATCCGAGTATAATCCGCAGCCTAGATTTGAGAACATTATCGATTGTAAGGACAATATTAAATTTGACCATTGACAAAATGTACCTTCTTATAGGATCTAGTACCCGCACAGCGCGCACCCCGAGATTGTGGTGAACTGGTCACACATTACACGAAATGTAAGAAATGGGACATGTTTGTCTCCACCAACGCTTGGAGCGATTCTGAAGCATTTTTTTTAGCCCAAGCCATGAATGGGCTTCCTCGCAGCTGCCCTCACTCAACATGAGTGTTGGAAATCACGTTACTAAAGCTAGTGCTTCACCTATTCGCCAGCAATTTCAAAATTCCTCGCACATCATCCCGAAACGTAAGCGTTGGTCTCACCACCAGCCGGCGGATGAATCCCTCAACACCCGTTTCTCCGCCCAGCGACGTCAGTCACACAACTTTCCCTTGGGTGCAGCCTGCCTCGCCGCTCCCGCTCAACCATTGCCAAGGCTTTCCCTGCTTGCGTGCTGAGCGTGTGGAACTCCCTGCCTTGGAAAATCCTCGCACAGCAGCCATGCAAGAACGGGATGCCGCAGTTCAAGAAGATGGTCCACCATCACCTGTTGACAAGCAACTGGATGCAAGCAACCGACGCCTTGTAAAACTGCTACATGAATTTGTTGAACTACACACTCTTATGTACTCTCTCTCTCTCTCTCTCTCTCTCTCTCTCTCTATTGATCTTCCCTCTCCTCCTGCTTCTCTTCTTCTTTCTCTTTGCCTCACACTGCTATTTATCTGGTGCGTCCAGAGCGTGACGATGTCGAGATCAGTTGATCGACGGAGCGCCTGGCCTCACCACCATGGCTGCATATTCCCGTTGGGTGCACACCTGGCTTTAAAAATAAATAAAATAACAACCTCGCTCTGTTTTGAGTGTCTTCCTTTCCACAAGACTCATCTTCTAGGAACATGTTTTCATCATCTTGATTTCAAACACGTTTCAAGGCCTGAAGGGGATGACTGGGGCCCCTAGCTCACTGACTAAGTGCATGCAAGTTTTCCACCCAGTACTAAGACACTTTCACACACCTCCAAACAAATACAGACACACACAGATCACATAGTGAGTGAGTGTACACCACGTGGACGGACAAACCTAGGAAAGATTCCCCCGGACATTAAAAAATTTCAGTCTTTGCTGCTGCTGTATAATTATGTACATGTCTGGTAGTTGTTACGAACAGGAGAAGTTATCAGCCATCAACATACAAACGTAAACACGACCTACCTCCTTCTGCGGCCGCTACTGCTATGTCCACACCACAGTCCAAATCTGCGGAGTTGGTCACCCAGAGAAGCCCCGCTACGTCATCTAGTCCTGGCTCCTCCGCAGGTGACGGTCGAAGTTGGCCAGGTCGTACCAGCTGACTCTGAGCACGAGTCTTGCGCAGTTTCGACGCTGGAATTTTGTTGGGACTGGTTCCGCCGCTGCTGCTTTGGCCGTGTTCGTTGTGGCTAGAGTTGATGGAATGCTGAGTCTGTTGTTGCTGGTATGGGTACGTATTGCCTCGATGACCAGCTGGAATTGATTGATTACCTGTCATACCCCTACCGCTACTGGTCGGCCCTAGTCCGTGATGATTCCTGCTGTGCGGAACTGCGGAGTGAGCATTGTTGCTTCCAGTTCCCGTCGTTTGTCTGGAGTGACTTGAACTATGCATCTGTGGGTGGTGGGGGTGCTGCTGGTGGTGATGATGATGATTGCTCCGATGGAAATGATCACTGTTTTCGACCAGATTCGAAGTTGGAACGCCGCTGCGGGGTATTGATCTGCCCTTGTTGCGTTGTGGTGTCGATGAGGAAGTCTGGTTCGTCGTAGAGCGGTGGTGTTGGTGTGACGACGTTGTGTGGAGTTGGTCCGCGGCGACAGGTCCAGCTGCGCTAGGATTGTGTTGGCTGGTCCGTTGCACTGTGGCGTGATAGCGCAGGAAAATTTCGTCAGGATCTGGCGAAGGCGCTGGCGACGGCCCGCCATACTTTGGTGACACGCTGGCACACCAGCGAGCAATGTCCTCCTCTTTGGAGCCCATATTGGCTGGCCGACCGATCAACGGAGATCTGGGAACGAACGCTGCTGCTGTTGGTACTGTGCTTCCAGCAGTTGGAGACTGGCTCGAGCGATGGTGGTGGTTGGGATTCGATACATTCGAACCAGAAGCGACTCTGCTTGCGATCCCCGCTGCGCTGGCTTGTCTCTGTCCAGTACTGGTACTTGCGAGTCGACGAGGCACGACCACTCCTGCTCTTGCTCCCGCAGGTCCTCCAGTGCGCGCATGGCTTCCTATTGGATGGTTGTTCATAGATGTTTCTGGTGTAGTACCACTACCACTACCAGTGCTAGTGCTAGTAGCAGTAGATGCCTTGTTGTTCACAACTGAAGCCAGGCCGCTTGTCGGCCTTGGTATCCCACTGCGAGTTGTTGAAGCTGCAGCCCCTGCACAAGTGCTACTGCCGTTGCTACTGCTGCTGCTGCCGCTTCCACAGGTCACGGCAGTGTTCCTACGACCGTGACTTTTAGCCGCGTGATGGTGGCGCTTGGCTGCGGATGCTTCGGCAGCGGCAAGAGCAATCGGAGGTATGCCTCCTTGCTGAGCGGCGCGAATAAAAGCAGTGAGCAATGAGTCCTCTTCGTCACTGCCTTGGTCGTCGTCTGCGGGTGCTGATGACACTGTCGCAGCTCCCGCATCTATGGCATCGGCAGTCGACGATGAAAAGAGGTCGAGGAGGGATGAATCGGTGTGCCTTCGAAGCCGCGCATTGGCGTAGCGCAGAGCTCCGCCCGCTATTGATCGCACAGTTACTGCATTTTTAGGAGTGACGCTGCTGCTTGATATTTTGCTGCTGGTGATTGAGGTGGATGACTGCGTCTGAGGGATGGACGTGCTGTTGGTGATGTTACTTGTGGGTGACTTTCGACCTCCCCGTGCCCGCAACCCCTGACGGGGCAGAGGAATGCCAGAAGCATTACTCGGAGCGGCTACCCTCTTCTTGACAAGTCCGTCGAGCGTCGTCGAACAATGACGTTGCTGATGTGGCCGCTGCTGGGCGGAAGAGAGCTGAGCAGTGAGAGGTGTGGACAGCGACGACAATGACGACGTGGACGAGTTCTTTGGCGCTGCGTTTGCAGAGGGTGCCATACGCACGGAACCCTCGACCATAGTGAACAACGGGTTCAGATAATCCTCCTCCTAGTACTACCTCTGGGGCCATCAAATTTAGTGTAGATTTGCCAAAGTGGATTTGAAGTGAGGCAGTTTAGGCACGCGATGGAACTGAGAAGTGGTGCTTCACGATTCGAAAGGAAAAATACATATCCACAAGTGCCTCACATCACCTGCTTTCCATAGTATGGAAATGCCGTGATTATGCGCTGAGAGATTTGCTCCTTCCTGCCTGCCGGCTGGATAAGCCTAAAAACTGCTCGCCAGCTGCATCGTCTGGTGCCCCCGACGTCGAACTGTTGTACACCGATTTCGTGATGCCAGTCCCAGCGATCTTGCTTTGATGGTGCGAACAGAGAATGCGCTGGGTGTCTACGATAGTGGGGTTCTCTCTAGCTCTCAGCGGTGGTGATGCCCGCGGTGGGCAGGTACCTGTGCGCGGGGTATGTGATATCCATGCACGTGTTCAAGCCTTCTTGTCGCAGACACCGCATCACCTCCTTGGTCCACGGTGGTCACTTGCGCTCTGTAATCGGAATCGCCAAAATTTGACACCCCCTTGTTAGCCAAATCTTCACACTTGCGCATCTACTTTCTGGATCGAATTTCAAAAACAAGCCTTTTTTACGGGCACGGAAAAGTTGAGGTTAGCAAAGACTCATCATTCGCGTGTGGCGGCGCCGTAGCGAGGTCCACTCTACACATCCCTTGCACCTTGGCCACCGACACCATCTATGTTTTCGGCCGTCGCGACATGACGACGAGCGGAAATGAACTGATGTGTCATCATGGTCATTGTCGGTGGCCTCGTGCATGATCATGGACGGTCTAGGTAGGCAAAGAAATAATTATATTCGGCGCCTGAGTTAGGATGCGATTCTACTACTACTAGTACTAGAACGGTGTAGATCCGCTCCGCCGAGAATCATTCTACTTCTACTAGGCAGAGTTGATCTACACCGCGCCTAGCTGTACTAAAATTTTAATACTTTGTGTAGATGTAGGACTAGGGACTTGGATTTTTCAATCAAGTGTTACATTGTAGTTCTTCGAGTGCGAAGACTAAGGACAGTTGTTGTACTTTACTTCTGGGCCTTCAGATCGAAGGTTGTGTGTGTGTGTGTGTGTGTCTGTCTGTGTACGTGTGTGTGTGTATGTGTGCGTGTGTGTGTGTGTGTGTGTGTGTGTGTGGGTGTGTGTGTGTGTCTGTCTGTGTGGTGGGTTTGTGCTGTGTGTGTGCGCGCGCGTGTGTGTGTGTGGTGTGTGTGCCCTCGCCTCAGACGCCGTGTACTTGGTGTGCATATGTAAATACAGAACAATGTATGTGATGTCGACTGACCTACTAATACAGTACTCTATCAGTCTATGGTACACACAGTCGCATAATCGAGAGCCCTTGCGTGACTTTTCTGTTTCTTTTCAAGGCTTCCTCTAGGCTACCGGCGCGACAACGTGTTACGCGGCTAGAAACGAGCAGCGTCTGCAAAACTGTGTGTGGCAGTGGAGCCTCAGGGCGTACAGTTGTTAGTGATGGTTGCGTGGTTGGGAACCATTTTTCAGTATCGATGGTAGTCCAGGTAGTCGCTGATGTGGTAGTCGTTGATATGATCGATCTAGCTACTCGTAAGGGGTCGTCCATAATTATCGAACTTTTTTCAAGAAACGAAATAATTTAGTTATGGGGTGGGAGGGGGTTGACCAATTTCGTTTCAGAAAAGTTCGATACATGTACATGTCTTTAGGAGCAGTGACACACTTGCGACTTTTGTTGTATACGCATGTATATCTCAACATTTTGTACGTTCTGAGGGGGACGGAGGGAGGGGTTGCCCGGTTGGGTCTAAACTAAAATAATTCGTTTGGTGAAAAATGTTCGATATTTACGGACGGCGCCTAAGTTAGTGCGACGGATTGGATGATCACAGTTTAAACAGGGGCGTGCTCGGCCCCCCAACTAGGGGGGGGGGGGGTGCTCGGGAGCCGAGGGGAGCCCCCCCCCAGGCAATTTTCTGCAATTTGTTTGCAACCTGTCTTGAATTTTAGAGCATATTTGCATACATTACAATTGCAATTACCCAGATTGAACATTTTTGGGGGTGCACGTGCCCCCCGTGCCCATCGCCGAGCACGCGCCCGCAGTTATGTAAAAGTAGATCGAAATGTATGCGCAGAGAAATGCTGTGCCTACGGCATAGACGTTTGATGTACATGTACATGTACATGACTTATTATATAACCTAACACTGGTTACAAAACCCAGTATTAGATAAACCTTGTTATAGTTCATGCAATTTGTTAGATTGACAGCATGAAACAAGGTGAAGGACACTGTGTTCGGAAACAGTGACCTTACTACAACCTTCCGCGGTTGGCAGAGCCCCAGTCCCTGCGGACCATCTGAACCATAATGGGTGTCGCACCCAGTTCTGACCCTCATTATGCTAGGGGGGTAGGAGACTACGCCTGACGTTCGTTTTGTATTGTCTTTTCTTTATGTCGTCCTGGTGGGCATGCGGCCACTGAAACCTCAACTACTTGTATAAAAAAAACTTCATCACCAACCCCGTCTACAGAGAGCACCTTCTCGCGACAGTGTCATGGTGATGACAAAAAAACTGTTGACAGCTGACGAGCTGAGAGACGGAAGCCATGGGCAGAAGTTGGAAGAAAAAGACGTTTTTTCTACAAGTTGAGGTTTCAGTGGCCGCATGACCACCAGGACGACATAAAGAAAAGAGCGAAGAATACAAGACGAACGTCAGGAGTAGTCTCCTACCTTGCATAATCAGGGTCAGAACCGGGTGCGACACCCATGTGGTTCAGATGGTCCGCAGGGACCGGGGCTCTGCCAACCGTGGAAGGTTGTAGTAAGGTCACAGTTTCCAAACACAGTGTCCTCCACCTTGTTTCATCCTGTCAATCTAACAAATGCACGTTACTTGAAGTTGTAGTCTAAGTTGTAGAGGATTGACATGTACATGTACACGGCTTTGGCCTCAAAGAAGTCAAAAACGGCGTGTTTAGGAGCCAGGCTGAGCTGTACTGACGATTCCATGGGGTGGGTCAAAACTTTTGGCCACCACTGTAGGTGATACAATGCAATACAGTCAACTTCGCTTATAACGACACTCGGCGGGGCATCAAAAAGGTGTCCTTATTCGCGAAGTGTCGTTATACCCGAAGTCTCATTATATGTATTACAGTGGGATGGGACTTTGCTCTGGGCATGGAAATTCTGTCGTTATTCGCGAATTGTCGTTATATCCGATGTCGTTATTAGCGAAGTTGACTGTACCCTTGTACTTATCTGAAGTACATGTACATGTACATGTACATTCACACATAATAATTTTGTAGTTTGATGTTATCTGTACCGTTACCATGACTACGGTACATTTTCATCCTTTGCATTAGATTTTGGTAGTTACGACTTTACTTCCAAAAGCCAAAAATGAAGAGGTACGGTATTATGTCATCAAACGTGCTTTATACTATGTTACTTTTTCTTTTTTTTACTATGTTACTGCACGGAGTTCAGAATCTGTGTTATATCGAGCACTGCGACTAGCTGGCGTGGGATCCATTCCGTCCTCTTTTCAGAATTGCCGGAATTGAAATTAACGACGGTATTTGTGTAATCAAACGGTGAATGAATTATTATTATTATTATTATTATAGACAACACCTCATGGCATGAGAAGAAAATCAGCCAGTACGGGAGATGTGGGTGTTAGCCAACCATGGTGAATAAAAGAAGAAAAGTAATGGTCAAGACGGAGAAGCATGGGAGGGACAGGTGATGGTGAATCTAGTGAGCAGATTTAAATGCGTCCAGGGTACTGGCATTGCGCGTAGTAGCGGGCAGCGCAAGCCAAGCAGAGTAAGCAACAAAGAGTGGAGAGCGTACAAGGGAGGACGTTTTAGCCAAGGGGAGGGCAACAGAGCATCTTGTCTGGGAGCCATCTGTGATTCGGAACCAGTTATACACGTTAAGATGAGGAGGGTGTAGAGCTAATTTAAATTTGTGAGCAAAAGTGCAAATTAATTTTTGACGGTGGGTCGACAGTGGGCAAGCATTTGCAAGGACATACAGGGAAGCAGAAGAGTAGAGAGGGGGTAGACTAAACAGGATACGAAGAAGTTTTCTATGGTGGATTTCGAGACGCTCAGCGAGAACCGAGGACAAGCCACACCAGCTAACAGCAGCGTACATGAAAAGAGGCAGGATGTACAGTTTGTAAAACAAAATTTTACATTTGAAAGGAAGATGGAAACAATGGGGACGTATAACACCTAGGGCAGAGCTTGAACGGCTGCAAAGAGCATCAATATGGAAAGATCAAGAGAGACGATCATCAAGCATTATTCCCAGGTGTTTATGGTTGGAAACAACCTTTATGGGTTCTGGGAAATCAGGATGGTGTAAAAGTGACATGGATGAGATTGGGGGAAGGAACATTATTTCGGTTTTAGTCAGGTTGGGTCTAAGTCGCCATGTTTGCATCCAGCGTAGGACACTGCATATCTGAGCCGACACTCGAGGTACAAGAGCCGCTGAGGACGAGGATGCTGACAGTAGGGTTGTATCATCAGCAAATAACGAGACACCTGGGTCTATAGAGGGTAAATCATTTACGTATGCTACGAACAAAAGAGGTCCAAGTATGGAGCCTTGGGGAACTCCAGAAGACACTGGTAGAGGATCAGAGTTGATGGAGAGGGCAGAAACAAACTGGGATCGGCTACTCAGATAGGACTCCAGCCAGGACAGAGCAGGGCCAGACACACCAAAGACAATATGTAGCTTGGCAAGGAGGCCACGATGCCAGACAGTATCAAAGGCCTTTGCCAAGTCAAAGAATCCACCACAACTAACTAAAAAACACACATTTTAAAAGTTGTTTGGACGGAGTTTCACTTGTTTTAGTAGTGTATTTAGTTACTACGCAATACTGTGCATGCTAGCTACATAAATGTAATCATAAAAACTATTTTTGGTTTTGCGTTCAAGAGGCATTTTACCACAATTAACTCTATAAATGACCGAAATGTGTGTAATCGGAGTTGCGGTTCACACGAGGTACAAACTGCGTATAACTGATTGCAGTACAAAACTGCTGATATCCAGCATGTGTTCACACGGTGTATGTGAAAGGTTGCGTAAAAAAACCCGCGGATCCAAAAACCATAGAAACTGGCTACCATACGCGTGGTCTCGTCTCAAAAATGTTTTAGAACAAAGTTTAGTTTGCGTCTGAATAGTGAAT